TTGGGTCAAGGTCGTCTTCAGTCTCTACGATTTGTCTGATAGGAATGCGACTTAAAGCATCGGCGTTTCTATGACATTCTCCCGCTTTATGCCTTACTTCGAACTCAAATTCTTGCAAAAATATAATCCAACGAGCTATTCGTGAGTTTGTGCTAGAGTCTTTATTGCTCATAAGCCATTTCAATGGTCTGTGGTCAGTGAGAATAATGAATTTCCTGCCGTATAAATAAGGTTTGAAATATTTGGTAGCCCAAACAACCGCTAGACATTCCTTCTCAGTAGTACTATAATTTTTCTCGGATTTCCGCAATATGCGACTGGCATAAGCGATTGGCATTTCTCCTCGTTCATCTTCTTGTGATAATACTGCTCCTATAGCCTCGTTAGAAGCATCTGTAGCCAGTATAAAAGGTTTGGTAAAATCAGGAGATTTTAACAGTGGGGCGGATGTAATGATTTCTTTTAATCTCTCGAAACTCCGCTCTTGCTCTTCTCCCCATTGGAATTGAGCGTCATTCTTTAAGAGATCGGTCAGTGGCTTTGCGATATCTGCATAAGATTTTATGTGGCGCCGGTAATATCCAGTTAAACCTAGGAACGACTTTATATCATGTTTGTTAGTAGGTTTAGGAAAAGTCAATACGCAATTGATTTTGTCGGGATCCGGTCTTATCCCTTCATCAGAAACGTTGTGGCCCAAGAATTTAATTTGTCGCTGCAAGAAATGACATTTCTTTGGTTTTAGTTTTAAGCCAGCGGCAGCAAGGCGTTGGAAAATTTGTTCTAATCGGGAAAGATGAGTTTGGAAGTCGGAACTAAAAGTCAAGATGTCGTCCATATAGACGAGGCAAGTTTTCCCTTTTAATCCATGAAGGATGAAGTCTGCCGCCCTTTGCCAGGATGCAGGGCTCCCGCAAAGACCCATTGGCATCCGATTCCACTGGTAATGACCGTCTGGGCTTGAAAAAGCGGACTTTTCTTTATCTCTCAGGGCTAATTGCCAGAACCCCGAAAGGGTGTCCATGGTCGAAAAGTATTTTGCTTTTCCCATCAAACTGAGGGCTTCCTGGACTAAAGGTAATGGATATGGGTCCGTTTTTGTAACTTTATTGAGCTTGCGATAATCTATGACAAGGCGCCATAGCCCCGGCTCCTTTTTCTTGACTAATAATGCAGGTGCTGACCAGGGGGATTTTGAGTGCGATATTATTCCATGATCTAATAACTCATCAATGATTTCATTCATTTTTTCTCTTTGAGCGTAGGGTATTCGATATGGAGGTTGGTATATGGGTGAAGCATCTCCGGTATTGATTTCGTGTTCCACGACTTGACAATATCCCAAATCATAATCGTGAGTGGCAAAGACATGTCGATATTTGTACAAGAGGTCTAATAAAGGCTGTTTTTTCCCTTTTCCAATATGGGACAAATTGAATAATTGGCTGAATTTTTCTCTGGTAAGATCAGGAGTAGAGGATTTATTGATAGAGCAGGGCTTTATGGGAGATTTGTCTTCTACTGCTCTTAAAAAGGTTCCTACACATTCGCCTTTCGCTATTTTCCTAGGTTGGGTGGAAAGGTTAGATATACGGACTGGTACTTGTCCTCCCTTCAAAGTTTTTGCTAGAATATCTGTTCCTATGACCCCCTCCTGGCTAATAATACTGGATTCGATAACTCCGATTTTGCCTTTTTGTCTTAATCCCGATATATTGGCCATCGTAATTATTTCGGATCTGGGGGGAAGATTGCAATCTGCCGATAGGAGTACATCTCGAGTTTGTTCAGGATTAGAATTTTTTCTTTGGCTATGGGTGACTTTGGTTGTTGCTCGATTAAGAATCGAGTAACCTTTAGACTGGCTCTGTGTGCCTTTACAAGGTCGGTTTTTCTCTTCTGGCTTTAAAATATTTGATTTGTGAGCATCAGAGTTTTTTCGAAATGGAATTTCCTCTCCCCTTGGGAGGGTTAATGTTTCTCTTGCTAGATTAATCGTCAACTGTTGAGTTTTTATAATATCTCTTCCTAAAAGTCCATCAAAAGGATGTGTAATCTGATCATCCACGACATAACATGAATGAGAAAATTGCAAAGAGCCCATATCAAAATGAACCTTGATGGTCCCATAGGTAGTTATTCCGTGGCCCGTAACACTTTGGAACAAAATCTCTCCCTTTTTCCAATTAAGTTCTACGCCAGCCACCTCGTGAACCAATGATCGGGATAGAAGCGTGACTTTAGACCCTGTATCTATAGCCAGTCGAGCCGTATATCCGTCGATTTTACATAATAAACTTGGTTCCGAATCCCGGCCTAGTGCTCGGATTCCTTCTTTACCTCTAGACATCATAGGCATTCCCCTTCGGGAGCTATATGAGTTTCTCGGTGTCGGCGATCGAAACTCTCGATATAATCTATGATAACTCGCTTGGGAAGATCGAAAGGGTCGAGCCGATTTATGATATGGCATTCTGCGTTCCCACCAATTTACTTTATTAATTCTGCCGTAGGTCTGATTCCTAGGTGGCTGGGAATTTGTTCGAACTCTTTCGCTTCTCTGTCCCCTTGCTACATTCCGGGTCCCATCTCGGGGGGCATATGCAGCATCTCTATTTTCACTTCTATTTCGATCCCAGTTAGGATATCGGGTCCCTCTCGAGTCGTCGTCCCGTCGTCCTCGGGATTGATATTGAGATCGGTCGCCATAAGCTCTGGGGCGCCAAGATATGGGATTTCTGCGTGAAGGGTTTCCCTGACTTCTTTCCTGAGTTCCTAATCGTCTCAATTGCTCCTGAATTTCTGCTAAAGTTTCCTCTAATTGCTTATGAGGGGTTCCGCTAGGATCCTTTTTTGGTTCGATAGGATTGTTTATGTTCCTGACTATCGCTCGTGATTTCGCCGTTAATTGTTCAATAGTTTCCTCGCTGATGGCTGCCTGCACCGCCTTATCGAATGTCTCCGGATCTCGCGACATCACTTGTCTTTTTATGCGCTCATTTAGGCCGCTGAGGAATTGCACCAGCAATCTTTCGTCCCTCTCTTTTTGTTGACATCTTTTGATAACTTCCCTTTCCTGCGCATCCCCGCTAGTTTGTTCTACCATCGTATCCCTTACCAGGGTTTGTAATCGCACGGCATAGGTTTGTACATCTTCGTCTCGCCCTTGGATACAGGCATGGAACTTTTGTAAACGTAAAGAAATTGGCTCTCTATCAAATCGCTTAATCATGAGTTTCTTGAACTCCTCATACGTCACCACCTCCTGCATCTTTGCATCCTTCCATGCATCCCTCACAGCTACTATCTTGTTTTTATGGCTTAAAGTAAAACGTTTTTTGGCTAAAATTGTTGGGGCAATGAAAAATGGATCACATTTTCCAATGAATAATCATCTTTGTCAACAATGGATTGACAAAGATGATTAGCCTCAACTGGACCCAAGCCCAGTGTGGACAGAAGAAAAATTTTGTTATGAGTGGTATGGTGGGATCATCAAGGAATTATCCTTTTTGAGTTGTTGCCATCCAAAGAAACTGTTACTGTAAATGTATACATTCAACTGTTAGAGCAGCTTCAGCTAAAACTTCAAGAAAAGAGTCCTGCACTTGTTAACAGAAAAAAATCACATTATTGCATGACAATGCAAGGCTGCACACAGCAAAGATTACACAAGAAAAAATTTTAGAGTTTGGCTGATCTGTTTTGCCTCATCCACCATATTCACTGGACTGGGCACCAACAGATTTTCATTTTTTCCATGCACTGTGGATTGCTTTACAAGGGCGGCACTTCCAAAATGATGACGGGTTCAGAAGTTTGTCCAGGAATTTTTTGATTCAAAACTACCAGAATTTTAGAGGAATTGACAGAATGCCCAAAAAATGGCAAGAAGTCATCAGTAATGACTGTGAATATGTATTAGATTAAAGTCTATTGTTGTACATTTTATTGGCAAATAAATTCGTTTAGAGCAGTGTTCTCTAAAGTGGGGTATGCAAAGTGATACTTGGGGCTATGTCAAGTTTTCCTTCAAAATACTGTATGTGTGTCCTGTCCACAGTCTGTCTAATTTCACAGTCATTCATCCTCCCAAAGAAGTAGGCTCACAATCACTTGCGATCAAATATGGAAAAAATTCAAATTGCGGATAGCATGAAATTTAGCAGGAATTATGTATGTATTGTGGAAATTTAACAAATTTTATATTATACAGGGTACAACTTATAATTATTTTCGTCTTAGGGGTACATAATCAAAGTTTGGAGATCACTGGTTTAGAGAACCCACTTATTTATGACTCACCCCAATATAATGCATTTTTCATAGTGAATGTAATGATTGTAGGTTTTTATAGTGTTACAAATTATAAATTTACTCCAAAATAATTACAATTCCATAAATGATAACCTATAATACAAGTACAGGTTCAATTATGCTACTCATATTTTACTTACAATAGTCATTTACTACTAGAGATCAGTTGGCTGTTCAAGAATTGTGTGTATGTGTACCCGCAATTATTTAAAAGTAATTTTTTATTATTACTTTCTACTTGACATATTGAATGACTAGATTACTAAATTTTTAATATACTTTTTGACTGAAAATGTTATTTTGATATATTTTAATTATTTTTAAGTTATAACAATAATACAAGAACACATTCAAGGCTTTTCTCTTCAGGTCTAAAAATGTCAGTTGCAAAACATTTAACGGTTAATTAAAGACAGGAAATAGTTACCCAGAATAACAATTACTGTACTGATCTTGATGATTGAATCTGTCAGATTCAGAGCTTTAGTATCATGTTGTGCAGAGTCATGGCAAATATGTTGAAAGAGTGTTCAAGTGCTGTATTTGATTATATGTAACAAGATTTGAATATACCTTGTGTATATAAATCTATAAATAAAAATTAACAAAATTATTTATATTTGTGATTCAAATTTATACATTTGTGTAATTATGTAATATAATGATGTATAATTTTTTTTAAGATTATGCCCAAGCTATCCTGAATATTTTCTTGTTCCTGCTTCCATACCTGATTCGGACCTGGAATCAGTAGCTAATTTTCGCTATTCACATCGCATTCCAGCAGTTGTTTGGAGGTAAATTGATTACAATTTTAAAGAAAAGTTTAGCAAATTAATAGCATTAATTTTTTCATGTGAAAACTTATTCCACCTTATTATAGGATTGATTTTGTAGAATTTTGTAGAGTACTGAACTGTCCAAAAATGAGAATTCTTATATAATCAAGAACATGACTCATTGTAAGAACAAATTTTAGTATTTTGTTTTCCTAAAAGTTTCATCAGTAGGTTGAAGCAAAATGATATAAATGCAGTTTTTGAAGTATAAGGACTAATTTTAAATTGAAGCCATTTATCATTCTTAAGTTTTAATTTTTAAAGTAAATTATTTACCATTTTTTAAACAGATGTTTTCATTTTTAAACAGTTCAGAAGAGCTTAATAGAAAATAGTACCATTATAATTATTTTACTTGGGATGAAAAATTGAATAAGGGAAATTGATTTATAGGTCATATAAAAAAAAAAAAAACAAAAGTATCTTTGGTCCTGCCGCTGGATTACGTCAGGATTTTTTATCCAAATTTTTCTTTGTGAATTTTAAGTCTTCTTTCGCCTCTTTCCTTTACTTTTGAAAGTTCTTGAACTTCTTATAACAGATGAAGAAGCAATAAATCTTATCATTCATAATTACATCCATTTTAAATAGCTCTTCTATTGTCCCTTTGAAGAGAGTTGTCAAATTCCAATGCTGTCTTTTGCTCTGATCTGGGGTGACTTTAGATGCTGATTTCTGGGATTTTTTTCATATCCAAGGTCCTCCACAACTTGCTTTATCATTTTGTCTTAATATTCAAACTCTCTTACCATCCATCAATAATTTACATTTACTGTTGTAGTCAAGATGCATTCCAGAGATCTTTGTTGGTTTTGGTTTGATATGGCAATTGGACAACCTGATCTTTCTGTTTGGTTCATTACTTTCCTTGAGATGCTTTATTATTTTTTGACTCATGAATGAGGATAACATTTGTTCATGAAAACTTGAATCCTTACTAGGGTACGTTCGTTAAGTCGAACGAGTTAAACGCGTTAGTAACGAATCGTTCGAAAAGTAGTAGTCTCGCTCAGTGCGCATGCTCTGCGGTGATGACGTTTCGAACGAAACTCTAACGAAGTTCACGAAGGAAAGAGTTGGTTTACTTCGTTAAGAAAATGGCGCCCGGCGATATCGATGTTTCTAAATCTACTCGAGTGTTTAAATTGTGAATTAAAAGATGAAATGATTGGAGTAACTGTCCACCCGAAGCAATCTAAGAAAAATATTTCGGATAAGGCTGTATTAGCAACATTTGATTTTAGAAACAGCCATTTAGTTCTAAACGAATCGTTCGAAAAGTCTAACGAAATAAGAATAACGATAACGTCATTCTCGTTTAACTCGTTCGACTTTACGAACATACCCCTAGTTTCAGAAGTAATTAAACTCCATAGACATCACTCCTTTTTCTTCCTAACTTCTTATTCTCTAATGGCTATTTGCTGTCTTTGTTTATATGTAACTTGTTTTATAACACCTTTATTGGACCTCTGCTCTGCAAGGCACTGCAAAGGTTACATAAGCTATTTGTTAGAAATTAACTACATAAATTTACAACACATATTTTCAATTGAAAAGTAAACACAAATATAATACAAATTTAAAGTAGAGTTTCCATTTTATACAATTAATAAACTAAGTAAATTTGTTTCACTTATATATAAAATAATAATCTTTCAAATAATAATGGCCATACAAATTATTTTAAGTCAGATTAAAGTCTGTATCTTTTTAAGATTCCAACCAGATACAGATGGTTCACAACATGAAGATACAAACGGTTCTTCATAAAAAACCAGTGATATGATATTAAACACAAATACACTATAAATTTGACACCGACCTTTATTTATTACTGTATAAAATAATAATAATTTTATATCATGACAGTGTGTTATAATATTCCAAACAATGTTATTTTGATGTTATACTAATATGCTTACAGTTTAATATGCAGAATATGTCACTATTTACAAATTATTTTACAAAATTCTATAGTCCATTCTGTCAGGTTTGTCAGTGGTGAGAAATCAGTTTGTCTTTACTGAGTTGCCAATTGTTCTGAAATAGTTTTTGATGAGCCGCTTGAAGCTCTTGTGAAGGGCCTTGTTATCAATGAGTTCATTAGGTGCACAAAGCCAGTTTATATTCTGGAGGCTTGCTGTCATCTGAAGCTTAAAGCAGCACTTTACAAAATGGGACACTAATATGTTTTGTGTATTGACCCATCAGTAATGTAACTTGATTGCTGAATAAATAGTGTCATTAGAAAGCAGCAATCAGTTGCAGACCTCTGGTAGTGTCTTTCAATTCTAAAGGTAATGTTTTTCAGGCCACCAAACTTTTATCTCAGTTATTTAGAATATATTAGTTGCTACAGTATTTTAATTTAAGCAAAGTCAATGCTATTTTTATTCAAAAAAATTTAATCTTTCTAATACTATTATCTGCAACAAGTAAACAAACTTATCAGTTTTAATATTTGATGATAAATACTTTTATTAAATTAAAATTTAAGGCATCAGACGAATGGTGCAGTGATAGCACGAAGTAGTCAACCAGAAGTAGGATGGTTTGGTTGGAGAAATCATAATGATGAAAACCTAATCCAAGCAATTGCTGATGCATGTACAAGTGATCCAGGTATATCAACACAAGAAGAATGTTTTTCTATGGGTAGTGAAGTTGATAGCAGTAATGTGTCTTTACCAACTCATTTACCTGTTGGTAAGTTTTAGTAATTTGTGATTTATTTATTAAAGACATTAAGTAATATGTTTAGAAAATTAATTTTACATAGAGCTTAATTTATTGGACTTATGTTTTTAAATAAACATTAAGATAAAAATTTAGTATATAAGATCTGATTATTGGATTCCACACCTCATAAGTGATTCCACATTTTACTGTACATATTGAGATAGAATACTGAGAATATTAATGACATAATTCTGAAAATGTTGTTTTGGGATAATTGCTTTTGTACTTTTTGTTGAAACTTCAAATCTTTCTTTCCTACTCAACTATTTGTGTTATTCAATTGAACTTTTTTCTTTGTTGCTAGAACACTTATTCAGGTTCATCCTGGAAAAGTTAAAAATATTGTCAACCATTTTGCCAGTTTTAAATTTATTTGACACTTTAAATTATCACCACCAGTTTACTTATTAATTAATGCAAGTACTAGTAGCCTTATCAGTTTGGCATTTGGAAAGCAAAAGTAACATGTTAAGCTCTCGCTTACAAGGAGAGGGCCAGGTATTCGGTTCTCCAATTCAAATGAAACTTGGTGAGCATGTAGCCTTAAACACAAACAACTCCTTGTCCAAATAATAGGACCCACTTTTCAAACATTTCCAAAAAAAGTGTCCTCTGAAAATTGAGTGTTTGGCTTATAAGTCTTTCAAAGTTTCACTTTTCTGAGTAGTGATAGCTGAGTAGATAAGACCTAGGCTTTGGAGCTAGACAAAACTTGTATGACATCATGAAATTGCTAGGTGTGTGGTGCACAGGATCTAGATATTCTGCTGTTTTTCCTGAAGTATGCTTTGGGATTCAATTTATGCTAAAAGTCAAAATAAGCAGACTAGGATTTTTATTGTCAGTCTTATATTTTTATTGCTACATTAATAAAAATATTGCAAAATGCCACTATTCAGATAGGCATCCTGCCTATCTGAAGGTGTTCTAGAAGGTGTTAATGTTTCTTACCTTTAAAGTTAGTATGCAATCTTTTCAATTTTTGTTCTTCACTAAAGCATAAAAATTTGATTATTTTGAAAATTTTTAGATGGAATAATGACATTGCATGTACATTTTGCTGTAAATGATTGGAGGTTATGGTGCATTTAATTCAAAATTGGTAATCTTTGAAATTATGTCACTAATGTTCTTAGTAGGCAATTTAATCAAACTGTTATTGCTGTCTGTCTAGTTGATATACACTATCAATCAAAAGTTTAAGACTAACAATAAATTATGTGGTAACTTAAATTAATTACATTTATTGGACTAGTTCAGGTTTTTTTTACAGAAGTCAACAGCAACCAGGCCCAGGACTTTAAAGTAAAAATTGTTAAATCTTGCTTTTATCAGTCTCCACCTTGGCTTTAATCATGGCTGCACAAACTTGTGGCATACATTCCAACAGTTTGTCAAGGTAAGTAGAAAGGATGCTATGCCATGCAGCTTGTATAGATACCCAGAGTTGGTGTACAGTATATTGTGTCTTTTGTCAAATTCATCTGTCCACGAAATTCCAAGGCAGCTATGTAGGAGATAAGTCATATGACTGTGGATGCCATTTCATGAATTTCAGCATACCTACTGTTTCCTTTTGTTATAAATACTGCTTCCATGGGTTGGATGTGTACTTAGTGTTGTCTTTCAACAATATAAGAACACTATCTCCAAGAAGACATTGACCAAGGGCACAACAAAACAGAAAAGTATTTGATGATAGCCTTGTTTGTTTAACAATCTCTCAAACCTGTAGATGTCATCTGAATTATTAACAGCAAAGCATTCTTATATCATAACATTACCCCATCATGCTTCATTGTAGGAACCACAGTCTTTCACCTATTTTGTGGCAAACAAATATTTTGTTTTCAAACTTCGACTCATCCATCCATAGCACCAACTTCCATTCCATTATGGATCATTTCTTGTTTGTCCACTTCAGTCATTTAACCTTATTTCAATGGCAAAGTAGTGGCTTTCGTAATTCAACCTAACCATGGAGACCAATCTTCTGCAATCAGCTTTTTACTGTGATGAAGATGGGTGTTTGCTTCTCACCATTTATGTATACAGGTAACCCCCGTATAACACGACACTTCTATATCACGGATTCTCTCTAACATGGTTCGAGAATTGGTACCATCCCCGTATAACACGGTACTTTTATAGCACGGATTCACTCTGACACGGTTCGAGAATTGGGTAAAACTCTCGTACAACAGGAAATGTAATAAATTTTTACATATTTAAGTAATAATAGTTTACGAAAATTATTATTTTCATGAACTATTAGTACTTAAGTGTGTAAATTTTCTCTTCTTGCCTTCTGTCGATACACGTGGTCCTTCTCGAAACTTGTTTCAATGTTGCCAGATCGCAACGCTTCTGCTTCTGATGTTGCCGAATGTTTTTCCCTTATTCCATACTTGCTTTATTCTTCATAAGTGCTTAGCACCATATAAGGAAATTTATAAAGACCTTTTAACTAGAAGCAAGCAATCTAAAATTACATACATTTTGCAAAAGGTAAAGCATGGATCTGAAGATAATGCAGAAAAATGCTCAGAGGATAAGGATAACTTGCCAAAAAGAAAACGCTCTTGGTTAATTAGTAGTGTTTTTAGTGATGACGAAGAAAACATTGTTTAATTTATATTAATATGTATCACTTAAGAAAATTTTAATAAAGATATTTATCTTAATTGTGAAAATATACTAGCATGTTTTTTAATTTTTGGAACCTAACCCTCCTTTTCGTATTAGTTCTTTGTTTTGTATAACACGGATTCGCATAACACGGCAATTTTTTGGAACGTAACTACCATGTTATACGGGGGTTATCTGTACTGTAATTACTGGCACAGTTAGTCACCTGTTTGTCATATTAGACATGACAATAAATCTATTTTCATAAACTGATGTTGATTTAGGTCTTTGGACTGTTCTTGGACAGTCAAAATGGTTTCTGATACTTTTCATTCTCTAATATACAATGGATACCTGTTTTGGATATTGACAGAGCACAAATGATTGTAAATGTCTCAATTCTAACAGATCAGTGTTTCTCAATGGGGCGATATTGCCCCCATGTGGGCATTTTTCCATGTTGAGGGGGTGATTAGTAACAACTTATATTTTGGGGGCAAAAAACAATTTTCTGGGCAATATAGTAAAACAATATATTAAGAATAATTAGATATTTTGCTCATTACATCGTACAATAATTAAACAAATAACATTATACTAGTCACTATTCTATTCAATGCAGTACAAATTTGGCATTAGTCTTGGCCCTCGGCATTGGAATTTTGTAGTGAAGGGGGCTATACTACGTAATGGTTTTACTGAAGGAGGTGACGATTTCTTAGAGGTTGAGAAACACTGTAATAGATGAATTTCCTGGCTTATGAGACATATTTTGTGTCTGGTCATATCTAGCTAAGCACTAGCATACTACAATATAACAGATAATAGACCTACTTAAATAACTTCATGTGTTTCAATAACCAATAAGAGGTTGTGCCATCTGGTATTGCTCATAATTTAAACAAACCACATAATAGTGATGTCATACAACTAACATGACACTATACTGTTTGTCATTATTTCAAATAATGGTGGCAACCAGTGATGTGTATCTCCTGAATTGTCTTATTGATTTCATTACACAATGTATATATTTTGACGGATTACAAGTCACTGATATTTATTTTAAGAAACATGGTGTTTGGTCTTAAACTTTCTGTTGGTAGTGTATAAACAGTCAGTCCTTATTGTAAGTCATCTCATGATTTGTAAATCTTAAAAATTTATTGCAGTTTCTTTAGAATAAACGAAGATTCTATTTTTATTTTAAAAAATGATTTCAGATCACTTATAATTATTGATCTTCTGGAGCATAGTTTTGAGAATTAAAACAACAAACAGAATTAAAACAAAAATAGTACTTTAGAAACAGATATTCTCCAAGCAGTGTCAGTAATTGATTCCAGGAAATGGCACATTCTGTGAAGAAACATTAGTCAGAGATTTAGTTCCGATTATTTTAAATGGGAAAAATTCCAACCATTTCATAAAACAATACTAAAACACAGTAAGATGGCATAGAAGTAACAAAGTTATGTTAGGATATAAAATGCTTAGTTTCATTTTTTGATCAACAATTAATCAATATAGTTACGTTTCCTTGTTTGCTCCAATATTTACTGTTTGCATGCCATATCATAAATATTTCTTTTGCAATACAAGATATAAACTAAGATATGACAATAAAGAAATTTGTTATAAATTATTCTCAGAATAATTTGTGATAAAAAGACAGTTTGTGATAGTGAACTGCTATTAAACCTGCAAAGGTTGCAATATATGTACTATATTTAGTAGATCATTAATGAAAAAAATATATAATTAATGATACTAATACATTAATGAAAAAAATTGCTTTAAAATGTGTACATTAGTGCCTTGAACTTCAGATTTAATTCTTCCAAAAGGCCAAATTGTTCAAATTTTTACTATTTTTTTTCCTATTAGAAATAATTGAAAGTAAATAATCCATTTTCAGATCCTAAACAATACCCATTTTTTTAAACTTAAAACAGAAAATACAAATAATTTAAGGTAAAGATAACATTTAAATGCCCTAAATAATAGACTAAAACATAATTCATAAAATACATAAATACTCATTCAAAAACTTCAGAGTATGAAGTATTAAATAGAATTAAAAGAAATATTTTTAATCTTGCAAGCACTTTCAACGTAAATATGTACGTCATCTTCAGGCAATTCAAAACCAAATAGAGAATCCGAACAGAACATTTAAATTTAAGCATTAACAATATTAACCGTTTTTGGAATATAACTATTACAAATAAGATTTAAATTTTAGAATTAAAAATATTTGAAATTCATGTGCATGCGTTTTAAAACAAATAAACACCGATTGGAATGGCTATTAAAATCATTGAAATTAAGAAAACACAAAATTGGTGCGTGTGCACATTAACATGCATAACATAAGAGCCAATTAGAATGGCTATTAAGAACAAGTAAATTTTAGACTTTACATTTTGCATTAAAAACATTTTGCAAACACGTGTAAAATTTTGGCACGCATGCACCTTAACATAGACAGCATAGAAACCGATTGGAATAGAGCCATTAGAGCAAGTTTACATTAAAATTTAAATATAAAAGCGTGGGACAAAACTTAAAATACATAAAACTTATGTAACATATAAAAAGACACACATAAAGAGGCTGACACGTATGCACCTTGAACCACATAGAAGGTGCGGGAAATGAGTGTAGAATTATTGTTGATTTTTTAAACGCCTGTATAAATTAATCCAGACGTCCAGTAAGTCGAGGGTAGGGGAGTTGCACGGGGAGAGCAGTTTTTTGAGGAAGGCCTCCCAAATATATATCAAGCTCCTTTCATCGCAGCATTTGAGTATTGCCACCTGATTCCAAAGTGTTATGTGGTGGTGTTGTACCACCAATTTGGAAAGTTCAGTGTCACAATTGCCAAGTGCCACCGAACGTTGGTGTTTAGATATGCAAGCAGCCAGCATTCTGGTAGTCGCTCCTATATAATTGGTGCATAGTCCTGATATTGGATTCTGCAGGGGAACGGAGTATACACCAGATTTTTCCAGGGTGGATATAGCATCTCTATCATTACACAATATTTGTTGCAGACATGGTCATGGAGCAATATATAAATGAAAACCATTCTGCCTAAAGATCCGGCAGATCCGGGCCATGAAACGTCCACATTATGGGAGTGAGGGACGGAGCGTTGTCCAATCCATTGGTCTGCGCAATGTGGTGGCAGGGAAGAGAGACTGTATAACTCTATTTTTGACATGGATGTATTTGGAGGCACTAAATCCCGCCGCATACACCGCTGTGCGGACAGCTTCCAGTTCAGTATTAATAAGATGTTGTGTCGATGGTAGTAAGAATGCCCATCTGATCAAGGGAGCTATGGCCGTATTAACATATTGCTGTGGTTGACAGGCTGTGGCCGGTATTATGAGAGGGATATTGCCAAACTTGTGATAAACGGAAAATTCCAAGCCTTCCTGGGATTTGTGAATGTGCAAGTCCAAGAAAGCGATTTTTCTCCCAACTTCCTTCTCCCAAGTGAAGTGTATAGAGACATACATTTTTGATAAGTGATGTTGTAATACCCGGAAGGAATCTTCCGTATCCTGCCACACCAAAAGAATATCATCTATGTATCTTAAATAAATTAAGGGGTAAGCTATAGTGAGAGGGAATTTAAAAACGCTGTGTTCAATGCACCACATGATAAATTCTGCCAATACAGCTGACAGTGGTGAGCCCATCGGCACACCTTGCTTCTGCAGGTAAATCTTTCCATTGAAGTGGAAGTAATTGTGCTCTGTAGTAAAGAGTAATGCTTTGCAAACTTCTAATACTTGCTGTGCAGTAAAGCCTTCTTTGATAAGCAATGTATTGGCTAGCATCACCACTTTGAAGTGCGGTACCGAAGGGTACAATGCAACAACATCCATTTTATAAAATGTGTAAGTATCTGGATTCAAGCCAGCCAGCGTAGTGCATAATCTCTCTTTAGCCGCGACAGATGAGGACACTACTTGGGAGGAGGAAGGAAGTAGCCCACCTAGCAAGCGCTTTTTCAAGGAAGTATGTAGGGTGGGACCGCTTATTGACTAAAGGCCTTAACGGCCAGCTCTTTAACGTCTCATACTCTGAAGTTTTTGAATTAACTGTTGGCCTGACATCCAAGCAAAGTATTTAATACTCCTAACTATATAAATACTATATAATAAAATGAAAATTTGATTTATTGATTGCACTCTGTCAATTTTGGCATCTTAAACATAGCTACAAGATCCACCACACGTGTACTGCTTTCATGCTTTGCAATAAATTCCTTTTTTGTCTGGATTGTTGATATTACAACCGTCCTCTTATACTTTGTTGCTTCTTCACACTTCTCAGATGCCATAGTTAATAAGTGAGGGTTGTATTGAGTTGAACAGATGATTTTTGCATATTTTTAACAGATATTATTACTTAATACAGATGTGGGATTTAATTATAATAGTTGTGACATTTTAACACTATTTGCTAATGTGAGATTTTATTCTTTGTTTAGAAGCTTACTTTAAACTTCTTAATTTAGATTTTGTTTGAATAAAATCAAATTGAAATGTCTTTGGATAAAAAACATATCAGGAATATTATGCTTTGAGTTTTGGAAAGGATACAATGCTGTACAAACAATTAAAAAAATTCAAAATGTATGTGGCTAAGATGTTCATAAACTTGAACATGAAATGTGATTTAAAAAGTTCTGTTTTGAAAATTTTGAACTAAAGGATACAAAACATGTGATTTGCCCTAAAGCTTCAACAAAGAAAAATTACAAGAATAAAAAATTAACAAATAACACAATACACATAACTAAAAATACACTGAAAACATATGAACGTAAAACGAGTGTGAGAGATAACTTGGACACAGAACTGATTGTGTTTGTGCTTTGAGCCCTTTTTCTTTTTTATTTAACTGCATGCACAAATTGAACTTTGAAGTATTGTTTGAACTCCAAAAGTGAATTTTTGTTGAATTTATTATTCAAGCTCTGAAGTGTTCAAAGTTAGTCATCCAAAGTTCATCATTCTACTGTAATAGTTGTCAAAAGTTTTTAAATTTTAAGAAATTTAATGTATTTCTAATCAAAACGATAAAACTTTTTCAAAGAATGATGATAAATATTAAATTTTAACAGATTTTACTAAAAAATACATTGTACAAAAATAAATTTAAATGAAATATGCAATAATTGATTTACAAATATAATCAATTTGTTTATGAATGTTTTATATCTAACTCAAGTAACAGCTTTAATTCTTCTTTCTTAGTTTAATATGTAATATTTACCATTTTAAAAAAGAATCAAAAAACAAAAAGAATACTCAAAAAGGTTATGGTATCTCTCAGATAACTTTAAAGTAGCATCAAGAAAAACAAGCAGTTTCATCTAATAAAAAAGAACTGACAGAGTAATGCTAGTTAATCAATGCTAGTTAATCAATGCTACCAGTCTGTTAAGGTTAGCTGCACAAAGTTTCCAGATTCTATACCACTTTGGAATAAAAATATTTAAAAAATTATTCTGAATGTATCTGTGAGATCAGCTGCAACCTCCATAAGGTTAAGTGAAGTGGAGACTTGAAGATTAAAGAAAGTTAAGGCAGTGTACTTTTCAAAATTGTCTATGATTGACATTCTATCAATTATTTGAAATGTAGCTTGACTTGATACAACATTTCTAATAAACAATGCAGGAAAGGAATCAAGGCAACCTTTCCTGCACATTGTTTATTAGAAATGTTGTATTGAGTTCTTAAAATGTAAAATTTTTTCTTTATAAACACTAACTGAAAAAGATGTTGAAAGGTACCTATATTCTATGAAGTTTGAGTATTTAAAACTAAGATACATTTTATTGGGAGAACATTGATCACAGAGATGTTTTGCAAGGTATTCCTCAGATGCTTGAAACTGTGGATAACACTAAACCATGTGCTTTTTAATTAATAAATGTTAGTGTAAAAGTTACACAGACATATTAAGCAAAATATGTCAAAAAAACTATACAGTATTTATAACATCATGAACATTCTATATTAGTTATATTAAACAATTTTTCTGTATCTTCATTTGACATTTTCCATTTAATATGCACAAATGGTTAGGTATTCTTGTCCTAAAATAAAATATTTAAGCTTATTTTCTTTTTGATGATGATAATGACACTTTTAATCATGATCAATTTGGAATAGTCATAATTAATCATAACTGAAAGAATTATCAATATTATAAGTGAAACAAAACATCGTTAGTATGAACATGACTATTTCTAGTTTAGCTTAAAATTATTTATTATTTTAACCATTTAAATGAAATTACAATGGCAATAAAAGTATTGTTTTAAAATTGTTTAATGTTCTTTAAAACAGATTCAATAGAAGGAAAAAGCAACAAGAAATTGCTTATTTTAGATGCTCGTTCATATACTGCAGCTGTTGCCAACAGAGCAAAAGGTGGAGGATGTGAATTTCCAGAATATTATCCAAACTGTGAGATACAATTTATGAGTTTAGCCAATATTCATAGCATCAGAAAAAGTTTTCAAAGTTTAAGAATGTTATGTGCTTCTCCACAAGATCAGAAGTAAGTACTTAGTCTTTCTTTTATTGTAAATATAGCTATGATTAATTAATACAGTTTTAGATTTACTGTATACCAACTGAGATTATTTATTAAAGGAACATCTCTATATCTAGTAAGCTTTATATAATATAAACATAGCATCAAATTTTTCTTTTAAAAATGTATGTTACACACAATTTTCTGTGTAGAAAAATCGTTTATTTTATTTTTTAAAATGTGTTGGAGTAGCAATTAATAGTAATTTGCAATTATAATTAGTGCTAGCTTGTTCATAAATCTATTAAAATAGTTAAATGCTTACAAATAAAAATAGGTTTTATGTATTTGTCTTTATAGTAATTGCAGATAAAAGAGAACTTCTTGAATGTCTGGCATAAGATTTATGAATTCTTATTGTATAAAATAGAATGAATCATTGACAATAAAAGAATATTTCTTGATCCAAGTAATATTTCCGTTTTAGTACTTATCACCATATTTTATGTATAAATGTTAAAGGTTTTTAGAATTATTCAGAATTACAATACTAATAAATTTTATTAATAATGCAAATTAGGAATCATGGTGTACTTCCAGTGAATCTTAGAGGTAAAACTTTTAGAAAAGAAATATCATACAATAAACATACTAAGCAATACTCTGATAAAATGAACTTCAAATAATACAGCAATTATTCATTTGCATAATAAGCTTTTATAAAATAGTAACATTTTATATCAGCTAAATCTATTTTCATTAAATCAAAATTTAAAATTTTTGATAACAAAGCAATCGCTAATAAAATCAAGTTATCTAAAGACATTAAAAATAGCATGCTTGATTTAAAAATAGCTCTGGTGTTATATAAGTAGTTTTCTCTTGTTCTGATTAGATGAATTACATTTAATTTAGCCTCTTAGAGGATATTATATTGGTTACAATTAATATTTAACAGCATTTTTTGTAATACTCTTGTAATTTTAGTTTTGCTTCAAGTTACTCTTTTATAAATCTTTTAGATTTTTCTTATAAAAACAAATGTTTTAGTAAATAACAAATTTGTAATAAATAAAATATATAATTGAGTTCAGTTTTTGATTAGTTCATTATAGTAAAACTTCTGTAACTCAAATGTCTGTAAATTAAATATTTCTTTAACTTGAATAAAATGTAGCATTTGGTAGGTCTCAATGGAACAGCATAGGGATTTAATGTCTCTAACTTGAATTTTGTGACTCACATTTTCTCAGAGTCAAAAAAAAAGTTTTTCACAGTTCCCGGACATCGATTTATGTTAATTTCAACTTTTCTGACTCAAATTTTAATATTTATTTTATCCAAAGTGATCCTAATTATCATATTTCCACAAAATTTTCAGACAGTTTTATCTACTCTCCAAAACCAATTTTCTAATAAAGTTCCAGTCCAAGTTCCAGTTTTGCAGGTATATCTTGTTGAGACCTCAACAAGATATACCTCCAAAACTGTTTGATTCCATTAGTTACATTGAACATTTTGCTGAAAGGTATTACACAGGCTGTTTAAAACAAAAAACTCTATCAAAAATTTTTTATATAATGCAAGGGAGGTAAAAGTACAAATCTATTCAGAATCTGCATTTTTTACTGTATTATTCTCTAACTCAAATTGTCTGTAACATAAAGTTCTTCCTGCTTCTTGGAGCTTCAAGTTAAAGAAGTATTATTGTACTGTATTTGTTATAAAGGAATATACAGTAAGACCCTGCTTAATGCAGGGGATGTGTTCCTAGACGACAAAGCGCTAAACGAAACGGCGTTAAACAAGGTCATTTTAACATAGAGTAAATAGGGATAGGGGATCACACAACCAAAAATAATCAAATTTTACTTTAATTTTAAGTTATTTTTATATTAATTTGCATAATAATATATGTTAAGTAACACACAAACATATGCACACAGAAATGTAAAGTTCATTTTTTGTAATGAAGGCCTTGGCTCTTCTGAAATTCTTGTTTTTTGCAATAAAGCAATGTAGTTTCATTTATCGCTTTTTTTCTTTCCTGGAGCAAATGTCGGTACCAGGAGATTGCATCCAAAATGCCTCGTTTTGCACTCCTTTCAATCATTCGCTACAATTTGATCAACAATTTTGGTTATTGTTACCAAATCTTTTCTAAGGAAATCTGTATAGAAATTCTTTGGGTTCTTTGTTTTCAGAATAGTTATTTTCCAGTTGCACACAAATTCCTTGTTCTGCCAGTTCTCAAAGGTCATCATTGGTAAGGCTCTCACCAGAAACTTGCAGTAACTCCTCAATATCCTGTTCATTTACATCTCCTAGTCCTGCTGTATCGATTTAGGTTGACAGTTTGGTCAATCTAACGATATAGCGATAGGCTCTTCTCGTTGAGAATTCTTGGATACCTTCAGCCATAACTTCTTCCACACTTTGTTTGTGCATTTATCAGTTAATTCTTGCCAAGCAAAGTCAATATTGTCTATGGCATCCATGATGTTATATTTTTTCCAAAATTGCACCAAACAGACAGATTTAAGGAAAGTACAGCACTATAACAAATTGCCAAGTTTTGCTGATTGGTTTGTGTTTGGGAATAATCAATGAAATGCTGCGATAATTTGAATCAGCGTAAATTTTGAGTTTTTTATGGCTTTGAGTAGACCACATTATATCGAATCAACGTTAATTGAGGCAGCATTAAGCACTGTAATATGAAAACTTTGTTTATTAGTGTTTTAATAGATGTTTTTATATGCATAAATAAACTAATTTTGGCAGAACTTACAATAATAATTTTTTAAAACTGTAGTAGTAATATGGAATTAATTAAAACTATTATTTATTTTAGTTGGTTATCATTATTGGAAGGAACTAAATGGTTGCAGTATATTGCGGGACTATTAAAAGCCGCTTTAGTTGTGGTGCATGCTGTAGATGTTGAACAGAGACCTGTATTAGTTCATTGTTCGGATGGTTGGGACAGGACTCCTCAGATCGTAGCTTTAGCTGAATTGATGCTCGATCCCTATTATCGAACAATGGAGGTATGTAAACAGAGTTTTACTAAATTATATCATTTTTTATAGGAGTGGAAGAGTTGCAGAATGATTTTTTTTTCATTTATTAACATTATAAAAGTTTTTACATGTAATATTTTTTACTGTTATTTTTTTGTGAAATGGAAAATAGTTTTCTTTAATTAGAAGTTTCTTTATAATTTCTCTAATAAATTTCAAGTATCTAGTTATAAAGCACTCGGTATTCATTTTTAAGATAGAGTAGTTAATTTTTAATATATTACATACGCATTTTGAATCATTGATAAGAACTCAACATCTCTTCCTTAGCTACAGTCAAATAAACAATATTAATTTAGAGTAGTAAAATAATTAATAAAGTAATAAAGACATTCAGTAACATTACTTCAATAATTATAGCATAAGTTGAAATTTCAAGTGATTTTTGATGTTTCAAACATATCTTCCTTGTACACCAACCATTTAATTTGGTTATATCCTTATTGAAAATATGCTAAAATAATAATTAAAATTTTTCCATTATTTAGAAATAATTAACTACCAATACAACTCATACAATATATCTGCTTTCATAATACAAATGTTAAGACAAAAAATTGTAATTGTAGCTGATGAAGAGACATTATTTTTATCAATGATTCAAAATGCATATGTAATAGGTTGGATAAACAAGTCTCAGAAGCAGTCAGTATTCATTTGATACTGGATATTTGACATTCATTAGAGAAATTCTCAAGAAACTTCTAATACTATCTTACTGAATTCTTACAAGTATAAAATATAAATTTTAAACAAATAAAAATAAAATACAGTAAAAGTCCTAATCTGAACAAGCAATATATCAGATACTAGACTTGTTTTTATTTTTGCAATATTTACTTAGATGTGTGTTGCAAACACATTATTGAAAATTTCTCTAAATTTTGTATTCATGTATTACATGGGTTATTTATGTTACATTTCATGCAGATAAGCTATGGATTATTTTTATATAAAAGCCAGTTTGAAAGCAGATGCAGGTTATCTATCAATTTTAACTTTTAATTATCAACAAATCAAACTTATCAAAAGCATCTCTGTAGTTATTTTTGTTCAAATGGGGACCTATAGGCCAAATACATCTTGACGTAAAATGTGCTTTGTGCACATCACAAGAGATTACTTTAGAAGTTTAATCTCTTTACAAAATCTGAAGGAAAGCTGAACAAAGAATGGCTCAACAAAGAATGACTTAGATAAATAAATCTACCTGAGCAAAGATATGCACACTCACAAATGTGATGCAAAAGAGTCTCCTTGACATACCTGCAAAAGTGGGAAAAGGCTGGGAAGGCAAGTCTCACTTGACAGATGTTTACAAAAGTGTTCAAAATAGCATTGACCATGGTAACCGTGGTAACACCACAACACGTAAGTGATTTTACAATAATTATAAAGTTGGCATGAAGTGATAACTAATTTTATTATAGCATTGACCAATGAAGCAAGCATGATTACTGCTGGAAACTGAGAAATTCTTAGTTTGCCCAGAATAGGCAAAAATGTCTTGCTTCACTATAAGCTAGGAATTAACTTTCACTGTTTAGAATGATCCAAGGTAGTTCATTCTTTAACAACTCTGAAAAAACATATTATCAATATAAGAAATACTCAAAGATGGTTCAAGCCCTATGAAGGGATACAAAGTTCCCTGCTTGGCCAGTAAATCAGCAGTTATGTTGCAGCAATATCCTTATGTCCTGGCGCCCATAAGATGAACTCTGATGCAAGTAGAGATTTAAGCAACATTCTAAACAAATGCTGAAGTAATCTAACAAGTCAAATGCCATGAAGACCGCCTGACTGTCAGAAACAATATATTGGGTTGAACTGAAAGTTCATTCGGGTATTTACTTAATCGCTCATCTGTGGCCCCTCTGTTGTGCTTATCAAGTTTCATCTTGTTTCAGTTGACATTAATGTTATTGAACAGAAGGGTGAATACATTGAGGATTAAATGTTTTTATTTATTTCAAAATAGTATATTTTATTTCTTTCTAAAAACCAAATGAACCTTGGCTGAACCCAATAGATAGTCTTATTGAGACCTCTATTAAAATAAGTTGCTAGCTATTACTAGGTGTGTTTACACCAAGTAATAGCTAGTAACTCCACTTGAAACATATTGGGAACCTACCCAGTGGGATAAAGCTCATACCAGACCATCAACCACTATTACCACTATCAGTTTTGGATCCATCTGTAAACAGGCCCTGAAGTCACAACCAAGAAACAATAACAGCAAGTCTGCAACTAGGCCCTAAAGCCACTGATTAGAAGCTGGTAAGGAGAAAGTCCTGAATGAGACATTTCTGATGGACACTTGTCCATCAGAAATGATAGTCTTCATAATTTTGCATCAACTATGTTCTCAGTTTTCTTGGAAACTTTGGATGCTTGTTTGAATGCCAATAGGAGAGAGCATATTCAGACCTTAGATAGAACACTTAGAGCCACCCAGAGCCACAGGAATGCCACTCTCACACTCAATGCACTCTGCTGTCTTCTCCATCACTTTGCATAATGTGACTGCATTCTTCAAAAGTGATGGCAAACAGACTCAGAAAATCAGGGCACATTTCTAACTTGAGGAAGACCATGACCCATTTCCAACCTGGAATCCATAATCATCAGAATCAAAACAGCAGGTGTTTTGAAGAATCCACCTTTTGAGGAAGAACCAGGATAAAGAGAGATCTTGAAGATAAACCTGACAATAGAAGCTTCTTCAGTACATTTTTCTGACTCCAGAGATGCTCCAAAGGAATGGAGGATCAATCAGATCCCCTGAATCTGTTGAACCTCCAACAGACATTATCTCTCTCAATTTTTAGAATTAAAATCTGTGTTAGTTGTAACATAGAGGTAAAAAATATGGTCAACGTCAAACTCAATGTTGATTTCAATGGGGTGTTGCCCCAAGGGGATTGTTTGCAGCATCTGTTATATTGCCTGGGTATATCAGTACAATGCCTCCATTTGGCTTTGGTGAGTGTTCCTCTTAGACATAGCCATGGAACTCGGATAAGAAAACTCCACCAAGACATTGCTTGCACATATCAGCAAGCTTCCCACCATAACAATGTGGAGATATGACAGGGAGGAAAACAGTATTAAAAACATAGACTATATCTGCAGTGTATTTAGCTGTTGTAATTTATTTTTCCTCAAAAGCACTAAAGGTGCATATAAATATGTATATCTGTAGTTGTCTTCTGTTTACTATTCCTTCAACACTTTAATCAATGCTATTAGATACTTCTACTTGTTTTCTTTCATACAGAATAAGTTTTAACTCAGTAATTAATTTTATTGGTGAAATATAAGCAGCTAAATTTATATCTTAAAAGCTAATCTTGAAAGTTTTCAATACAGGTATGTGTTGCTTGATGACAATGATATTTTCTGAGAAATACGTCATTATGTGAACATTTTACTGTATTTAGACAAGTCTAAATGGTATAGTCTACTACTCTTGTAGGCTACATGTAACAATTATAACACACTGATAAGTATTTATATATCTAAACTTATCTAAAAGCAGAAAAAGTACAGCTGACTACAAATTTTTCAGCTTCATAATCTTAGTGGACCTCTGTCATATATGCAATCAGTTGTTCAGGTGTATAACTGTAGTTCCCTCATCTTATGTAATCACTCTCAGAGAACTACTTAGAAACTGACTTTATTTTGTCATATATTAGTTCTGTACAGAGAATAAGATATGAAAAACTGGCTTTCAAACCTACAGTAAATCACTGAATATTATTGGCATTGAAATGTTCTATTAAATTTTTGAATTTATTTTAGCCTTTATCATTATACAATATGTTGCAAAGGTACTAATCTCATTCCATTATCATTGGTATTGGCAGGTAAGCTATGTCTGCTAATTGTGGGTTTCCAAACTATCTCCTTTCCTATTTTTGCGTTACAGTCCCCGGTTACCATTGTCATTTCATATTTCTGTATTCTGTCAACATCATCTTCTAGGATACTGTAGAATTTGTCCTTAGTTTCATCTGTCTTGTCTTATGTCAGTGCATGGATATTATTATGCTTATGTTGGACCATCTTCCCCTTACCCTCAACCATGATATGTGATCAGTAATGAACTCCACCTACAAGATGCCAGAAATGTATTCATTCTTGATGGCAAACTCTGTGTCAAACTCATGTTTATTGTGTTCTCCATACAATTTAGCAATTATTATTTTTTAAATTACAAATAAATGAAATAAGAGAATAATTTAATTATTTTATTTTTGAATTATTAAATAACTTATACATTTCAGAATTGGTAACCTTTTACATAATAATTGCCTTACTATGTAAAATTTGCATAATAAATTCATCAATTTTAGTTCACTAACATATCTAGTAACTTTTTTGCAATTTCTTTTTTGCCAGGGATTTCAGGTGTTGGTGGAAAGAGAGTGGTTAAGTTACGGCCACAAGTTTGGAGATCGCTGCGGACACGGACCCGGCACCGTCGATCCAAACGAAAGATGTCCGGTGTTTTTGCAGTGGTTGGATTGCGTGCATCAATTGTTGTTGCAGTTTCCTTGCAGTTTTGAGTTTAATGAACAATATTTGGTAAATTTATTAGCTTTAGTTTTAAAATACAGCCAAATCTCGATGTCGACATCCACTTGCCAATATCGTCGAGAATTGACTAAATGTTTTTTGTATTTCATTTCATTTAATATTTTATATTAATGGAAATTTTTCACAGGTGAAACTTGTACATCACACATATTCCTGTTTATTTGGAACATTTTATTGTAATAATAGTCAAGAAAGAAATTATCATGGTATCCACAGTCGTACTTTCTCCATATGGAATTATCTCAATTCCTTTCCGGAACGTTTTAGTAACTATTTATATCAGTCTAAAGATCAGGTATTATAAATTTTAATTATTCAAAAATAAATTTTATAATTTGTGTTTATGATCATTTTAGTTGGATTTTTTTAGATTTGTAATACAAAATATTGGTATGTTGTAACGATTGTTCTCAATATTTATAACCGTTAGTTTTAACAAAAAGGTGTTGTTAAATATAGCAATAATTGAATATGGATGAAATTTAAATCTTAGCAGTATGTGAGACTGAAAGTGCATTTTATATAATATTGAAAATGAGCTGAAATTCATAACTAGTAAATGTTTTGGAAATAGAAATTGAAGAATTATATATTTTTTTGAGGTTATTGAAGAATTGAGTTTAAATTTATGAGTAAATAACAAATTTCAAGTATATTTTCATTGTTGCATTACTGTATTTTGTGGTATATAAGAAAACAGGCTTAAAAAATTGCCCTACATCTTATACATATGTAATGAAGTTGTGATTTTTCATATGCTAAAGAATTCCCCCTAACAACCTTTAGTAGTCTACAAGTACTGTACATACATCTATTCACCCAACTCCTAATTCGTGAACTGTTATTAAAATTAATTATTATTTTGCTATAATTAAATGTAATTTTTAATTAAAATGAATAATAATAATATACAGGGTGTATCAGAATGACGTTTTAAAAATTTGGGGGATTGTAGAGGATGAAATTTTGAACGTTTTGATATAAGGAACCCGTAGCCAGAAATGTAATAGAAAGTTTCTACAGCACTTTGCAGTCAGTATGCTGAATGAAACAGCAGAATACAGTATTTATGACACGTTTTATTGACAAAACAGTAGAGTACAATCAAACTGTACATAGAATCGGTGACTGCACTACTGTAGAGTAAATGTTCAATGTGACAACCACCAACTTTGTTACATGATGTGCAACCACGAACCATGTTTTGCCCGACTCTCTGTAAAATGCCACGCTCCCCTCTGATGGTATTAAATGCTGTAAAGATGCACTCCATAAGCTCGTGAACTGTTCCTATTGGTGTTGCCTGCACAAGGCACTTTACATAACCCCAGAGGAAGAAGTCAAGAATGATAATGTGACATAAATGGACGGAAGTGTAGCTACCAAAGTGAAGGGCAGTCAAGCTCTTCCTACCACTGTAGAAACTTTATATCACATTTCTGGCTGTGGGTCCCTTATATCAAAACTTTCAAAATTTCATCCTCTACAATACTCCAAATTTTTAAAACGTTATTCTGATAAAAAAGTTGATTATTATACAGATTGTATGTATTGTAGAATATTTTAATGGTAAATGACTTTCCTGCAAAGTGAATATGCATTTTAATTTTTTAAAACTAGAATACAGTAAAATATATTTATTTATTTGATACTGTTTCAGAGGCATGGTATGGCTTAAATACACTAAATACTTTTTCCCCAAAATAATCTGTACTGAAATGGAGTGTGATTTCTCTTATATGCTGTAAAATATGGAATTTTAAAACTGTGGTAACTAGTACTTTAAAAAATTTTATTGATAATTTAGAAAACTACGAAAAATATTAAGATCATTTAGCAATAGCTACAGATAATGTCACATGTTAAAACTACTTAAAAATTGCTGAAAATATATTTTCTATTACGTATAAAAACTTTTTCTTTTAGAAATTAAATCTTTTTTCTTTATTGAATTATCGTATCTGCCTGGAGTCTGAAATTTTTAAAAACTACACTTTTGTTTTTTATAAAATTTTAGCCGAATATTTGATTATATTAAATGGAGCAGTTACGTTATTTGTAGATTACGACATTGGAAAATTTACTCGTATTTAAATATTCTTCTTTAAAGTAAACATACAATACAATATAAAATACCATATACTGTATAGTATTTATATATGAATATCTAAGAATATAATTAAATCCTTTTTATCGAGTTCTTAATTTTAATTTGAAAATGTTGTTTACAGAACTTTTTATTTGACAATATTAACAACAGTTGTCGATGGTGACTCAGTTTTATTTGAAACTATTCTAGGTATTGCATCCTTCTTGTCAAATGAAAGATATTCAGTTTTGGAGTAACGTGTATCATCCTCCCATGTTCACTCCAATGTTGTGTTTAAATAAAGAACAGTTAGACGTTAAGTGTTGTAATGGTGATATACCGCAAAAAAACGAATGCCAGTTAGTGAAAACAAAGTCTTACGACAACATATTAACCATAGATCACATGTGTATTCCTCAGAGACGAAACAGTGATCCTAACATTGCAGAAAAACACGTTCTTCCTAAAACTTCAAACGTAAGTAAACAATTGGAACCTGAAAAGTTACTAGCGACAGAAGACAGTACTGTGATTTCTCAACCGATAACTTCGTGCGAAAAAAGTGCCAACGGTGAAAACTGCCCTCTGTTAACTGTTAATAACGAACCGAGCGAAAAAGAGGATTTAGTTTCTACAATATCTCAGGGTGACTTGTCTACCGAAACGACCGACTTATCCAACTTGTCTATCGACGGATCGACCGACACGTTAGTGAGCGAAAACGGCGTATCCATGCACGGAAGCCCAAAAACCGAATCGGCTACGGAAAATGGCGTCAGAGAGCGTAAAGATCCATCCGACGGTTGCAAGAATACGGCGAACTCTTCAAATAAAAACGAAGCGATAACCGTAAAAACATTGAAACAAGGAAACAGCATTAGCACGAGCACGACGGACATCAGCGATTCCTGCGTCATGCCCATGGTCACAGAGTGTTATCCTCCTTTACAGTGTTTAATGACAGATTGTTTACATCCCACTCAATCCAGTTGGACCGCTTGGTTTCAAAGTAAGTTGGGAAACGAAGCCGTGCCTCCGGTTCTATCCAAACAGCCGCTGGCTCATTCTTCTAACGGAGGCGGAAGAACTTCCCAGTATTCTACGCCCCATCACTCTCGCACTCCCAGCTCGGGCTTTCCCGCCACTCCCTGCGACGAGTATTCTTACGACATATCCGCCGTACGTTGTAATCTGGTTCCTTCCCATCTTCTCGATATCGACGGTGTTATGGTTATGAAGAACGAAGTTCAGGAGCGTCTACAACAAATATTCAATAATCACCAGGTATTGCAGCATTTTTTCTTTAATTTAAATTATATATTTTTAATCTTAATTATAAAATCCATTGGTCATGCCCGTTACGTCTCGATTTTATTATTTGGAGAGAATTTCTAATTTAATTGTTAGTTGAAAACTCCAACCATCAATTTCCAGATAGCAAAATTGTGATAAAACATTTCTTATTTAATAAATAACTGGTGAGTTTTATATTAAATACTTTCATTAAATAATAATAATTAATGAATTCGACGTAATTTAGATGTGTGGAAAAATGCCCCGAGCAAGCTTTCAACCCCAAATTATAGCATATTTTAAGCATTTTCGTTTACTCGATTTTTCTATATAAGTTCTCCGCATTATTATTAGATTTATTATATTAATATTGTTGTAATTTATTATCGTGTAAAATCCATACGCAGTACGGTCTTGTTTTACGTGTGATCGATGTGTGCGGAGTCGTATTCTCGCGGATGGTTAAACTAATCCATTCCCAACGCCAGTCAGACTGTTAAGTCTACAAACGCGTGCATCTTCGTCTTCTGACATTCCAAATACAGAGGACTGTCGAATGCCACTCGCTCTGGTCAATACACTGGATCAAGCGGCACGCGCGATGCGATGTAATAGTTATTTTTCTGTTGATTTTAAATGGTTGCTAATCTAAATGTCTAGTCCATCATTTCGATCTTACTCTGGATAGAGTACAAAGTTAGGCGGTACTCGCTGTCACACGACCTCAGCATAAAACAAGACTATGCTGTAATTGTTTATGAGATCAAGAAGTGTAGTCAAGTACTGTAATTGCAATCTCTTATTTGATTTTGAAAGGCTAAAAATTCAATATCAAACTATCAAAAACATTCTTATTTTTTAAATTTATTTTTTCTTCTCGCATTTGTCAAAATTTCTTTGCTGCTCTGTCTTGTCTGATTATTTTATTGTTTTTTTTTCCGTGGCTTTATTATTACCAATAACGTCGCCGTTTACACTGTCTTTCTGATTTTATTATTATTATTCTTACGAAGTTGTTGGAATGTTATTTTACTTGGTTAATACCTATACCTAGAACTCTGCCGAACCATAACTATAGAAAAAACTGTTTTGTTTAAATGCAGTTTGTGCATACATCTATGTTTCAGACTAAGTAGCGCGTATTTAGTATGGCTGCTTTCTGTAATGTGATGTGTGCTGCTGTTAAAGTCTTAATGCAATGATTTTCAACACTGCAGGGTGGCACAATGACGCTTCACTGATGCCGAGAAATTAGAAATTACACCACTCGGTGGAATAAATGTGTGTAATTTCTAATTTCGCATACTTATTCTTCTACTCGCGTGTTGTAAATGTGTTGTCTGCACTGGCTGTCTTCCAACTGCATGTCTTTTGTATTTCATATCGGATTCGCATGTTAATTTCAATACGAGGTATGTTTTTACTTTCCCAAACTTGTGATTTGTATGTTTTGATTTCGTCTTTGTGCGAATGTAAAAGTGTATTAGTCAATGTATGTTATATACATCGGTCTATTCTGTCACAGTTAGCATGTCTGAAAATATTGTTTCTGGTCGAATATATTTTGGTAACTGTGTTGACTTAGATAGTTTCGGTATGTGTATTTACCATTTTTGGTCACTGTGTGGAGTCTTCAGCTGTATATGTAATGAGTGTTTTTTGCAATATAAACGTGTTAAACGTTAATTATTTATCAATATGTATCGCTGGTTGTAATTATTGTTAGTTTTCGTTGGCGCTTATTATGCTTGTACGTTTTTACGAGTGACTGTTGTCGAGGTATGTTGTCAGGGACTGTTAATCTGTGTGATCTAATGTTTCTCTGTGTTGATGTATTTGTTTTAGCAACTTGTCGTTTGGTATATTCGAGTGTTGCTTGTGGGATATGATGATCGTGTGCAATTGTTCATTTCTGATCAACCACTGTTTTGCAACAGTAAGGGTATTTCTGCTTATCGTGTAGTGTCTGTCTGTTACAAATTTTGTAATAGTATAGTAGACATGTATGATGAATTCGTTAATTTCTCGAGTCCACTTTATCCATTGGCGTGGTTTTCCAGCCTCGGTGATCAGTGGTGAATTGCCACCGAAGCACATTAATCAGGATGGTGTGTGAGAGAGGTGGCGAATGTTTCTGATGCAATTCGTTTCTGGTTGCCGTAGATTTTTCGAATGGTAGTCCCTGCCTAATCCACGAACGCGACCTTATTTACCTAGAGACTTCCAAGCAAGTGTTAATCCAGGAACGTGTCATAACCACTATTTTCCTGTACAGAAATGGGCGTGCTTATATAAACAACTGGGTGTTTATAGATCAAGCATTCAATCAATTTACAAAGTGAAAGATTTAGATTTAATAACTTTAAAATAGTTAAGAAAAAAATGTAAGTTTTTTTACACAATCCTAGTTATCTTGTCACAACGAAATGGTTTTTCTTTGTCTGCTACATTATACAATTTGTGTTTATAAAGGATAAAATTTTGATTAAATATAAATTTTATATAAACAGTTTTCTAAGCAACAAATAATCGAAAATGTTTGGATAAAAAAGTAAATTTCAATAACTTTGGAAATAAAAAGATTAGAAAATAACGTTGGGTAAATGATTGGATATTCCTAGTTTTACTTAGTGATGTTGCAGATGACGAAGGAAACTATTGTAAAGATTTTTATGATGGTTCTCTTCAATTAGAATAATCTTACAAATCACAAAAAGTGTTGATATTAAATTGCTTTTTATTGGGCGAGAGTTTCAATTTTTACTTTTCATAATGTCTGAATTAAGACAACTTAAAATTTTTTTCTAACAATTTGGTAAAATATTGAGTATGTCATATTATAGGGTTATCTTATCGTATAATATGTGTCGCACTATTCAATTTCTGTTTTATCCCGGTAGAAAGAGTTTATCTTAAGATGATAAATGAAAAAAACCGCGGTTTCAGACTCAATCAATGCGACGTTTTATCCGATAAGATTACTTTAAATGGCCCATTACTTGTCACGTAGGGGTAAATTAACATTAGGTAAGATTAGAATTATTTTGAATTAGATAATGGTATTTACTTTTAAAGATTATAGTAATAATAATGGTTGGTTTTGCCTGATGATGCCCGTTAATAAAGAAACTTTGATTTTTTTTTTTTTTTTGTTAAAGATGCCTCCCAGGAAAATGGTTTTAATTGCTTACAAGTTTGTATTTATTGATGATGGTAAATAATCATTTTTTGAAAAAGAGAGAATAATATCCAACAATTTTTTGTGATTTGAATATTCTTAAGTTGTTTAAAGAAATAATTAGAATTTCACGACACAGTTTGAAGTAAATATAATCAAACCGAATGAAATATTGATTTTGTGTAAATTGATTACACAATCCCGTGGCTGACAGAAATAAATTTTAAATAAAAGCAAATTGCCCTCGTACGAACACAATGTTACCGACACGTTGCGGCTAATATGCAAAGTATTCCGAACAAAGATTTTGACGTTCGTTCGAACCTTCTTTTGGTTAGGATTCTTACCTTCGTTCTAAGAAAACTTCAGTTTGTACAGCAAAATATGCGCGTATCTTTCCGAATTGTTAATGAGTGGCAGTAGAAATCTCTAGCTCCGTATTATATATATTGATAAACCACACGCCCAAATGGGATGCCAGTCCAAATTATTAGGTTCCAAAAGAGAATCGATTTACAACATTATCTTCAGCTCTCGGAGGTGTAACATAATTTTCTGTTACACCTCGTAAAAACCGCACCTTTTGAAGTTGCCATTTAAAACACGTATACCGGTATCCACTCTAGAAGGTACATTTTATTGTCCGCAAGTTTTGATTAACGTTAACCGTTCTTGGTAAATATAATTATAGGGTGGTTATAATTATACCGATCTTACTCAAAACCTACGGGAGTACTAATGGATACTGGTCGAAGAAACTCCGTACACACGCCGTTCGCACCGTGGGAGAATAGCCTACATTTCTGGGAAAACAAAAATTAGTTCAAATTTCCACTACTAGGCAAAGATATGACGCTTTAAGAACAAGTACAGCGACAAAGGGCTATGCAAATTACTGTAGAAAACAACCCGCCTGGGCGAAGACCCATATAACGCGGCGTATTGCAAATAGTCCCATGGAAATCGATCACGCCGTGTTACGCTTCCGACACACAATCGACGTAGATTGCTGACATATCGAACAAATGGTGCAAAAAAAAAGTGTAAAATAACATTTTGCTTTACTGGCCGATGGTTTTTAATGAATATAGGTCTATACGAATTAAAACGAGTGGCCAGTGCACCTTGACAGCCTTGTTTTAGAGAAACCAGTCGAATCTGCTCGGTCGTAGACGCTATGTTCTTATAATTAGCGTATACAGTTCTTTTATAATATTTATACCATTTGTTTTAAATTTTAAAAATCTGTGAAATTTTATTATTCGAAGAAAGTTAACAAGAAAATTCACTTAATTTCCCTTGGGTTTCGATGATTTTCGAATATCGCCAACACGAAAAATCTTACTGCGATCGGACGTTGCACGTAACTATATTACTTAAAGCTAATTTTGGTGAAATTTCTACCGTCGGAAATGTTAGTTTTGCGTAATCCTTTCAAAATTTTAGCCATTAACAAATCGGTTCAAAGAGAAATTTACCGGCGAGTTTCTCCTTATTCCGGATTTCGTTTACAAACTTGAAAAATAAGCAAAAACTCTGTTTTAGTTCGGTTCATTAAGATTTTCAATTATAACGTTCATTTGATACTTTTTTTTACTTTTTCGAGAGAACCAATTAAAAAGCATTATCGGGTGGTGTTTAAAATTGGCAGGTTCGGTTAAAGTAACGGAGAAAATAAGAACTTTTTAAGGCCAAGAAAAATCGCCGAGTTACATTTAAAATCTGTAAATGTTAATTAACGTACTTTAAAAAAAAAATTGACTAAATCGTGCATTTTAATTTTATCCTTAGAACAGAAATGTCCCGGAAGAAGTAGCCAAAATACTAACGCGGTTAATTACGTGTCATTTTCTTACTTTCGCCAGAAGTTAGCGATTTCGGGACACTTCTCGGTAGTTTCTTTTATTTGAAAAAACTCGGAAGAATCCGAGTCGCCTTTGCCACGTTTTCTCTCGAAGACACACGGGCAGCGTTATCTTATCACGTTTAAAATACGATTAAGCGAAGCACGGATAGTGCGTAGTTCACGTCAAACCCCCCTCTTTCCTTGGCATTCTGTCCGGACTATTCCCCGGCATTTGCTAATTTGATGTGGCGGCCGCCGTGGACTACGAGCGAGGCAATCCGCTTGTCGCGAGAACTCAAATTTATCGAAGTTCTTCGACACAAAAGATTCTCCGGAATTTAATGAAGATTGTTTTAGATGCTGATAAAACGCAGTTTTGAGTAAATTTCTAAGAGAAAAGGAACGGTTGGAAAACACGTGGGCCGTGCCTCCTCCTCCGGGTTAACTTTCTTGGGATTTTCCTCCTCCTCTTCCCCTTCTAGCTGGCTTGTTCGAAATCTTAGTTTATGCGCTCGGGTTCGAAATTAAAGCTCGATATCGATTTGGTCTGTTTTTTTTCTGCTGGATAAGGATTTGTTTTTGTTAATCGGTAAATCTTTCCAGATTGAAAGTTACAAATGTTACTGTTATCGTTAACGTTTGGGCACGCCTCCTTTTGCATTTCCTCCACGATTAGAGCGCGCAAGTATCTAAATTCCTAACTTTTTCGCGCGACGGGCATCAGGCAAAACTAATCAACCGGTGGATTGCGGGCGACGAGGCACTGAATATCCCGGTTATGGTTTGGTTACAGTCGCAAATCGAGGCGCTCCGAAGGGACTTGTACGTCAAACAACTGGAACTGAAACAGAAATGTTGCCTTCGATGTCGGGCCAGAGACGACCACGGACAGGAATGCTCCGACGACGTAAGACTTTTCTCTTCTTTTGTCTTTCGACACTAACCGACGGAGGAGGGTCGCGACGCCATTAACTCGCGCCGATCGTCAAAGACGGCGATTTGTCGCTTAGTCACGGCCTCTCTCTTTCTCTTTGGCAGACCTCTCTGGCGGATTCGGCCTGCAGCGGAGAACAACAGTCCAACGGACAGGACAGCAGCGCCGCTTCCGACGTCAGCTGGGAACTGGTGGACGAGAGGGAGACCCGCACCACCCTGTGGGTGCCCAACCACGCCGTCTCCTACTGCATGGGCTGCGACGCCAAGTTCTGGATCGGACGACGCAAGCATCACTGCAGGTGAGAACCTCTCCGTCCTTTCTAGTTATTTTTCCCTATCGTTTCCGGATAGTTTTAAGGTGGGGTGATTTATCGATTTCAGGAACTGCGGTCACGTCTTCTGCGGCCAGTGTTCCAACCAGGCGGTGCCCATCCCCAACGAGCACCTGGACCAACCGGTGCGCGTGTGTTCCTCGTGCTACAACAGTCTGCAGTTCCGCTGTCGCCAGCAGATCGCGGGCTGCGAGAAGATGCCCAAACCGGTGGTCAGCGCCGCCTCCAACTAGAGGGGAGGGCGGCGGAGGGCTTTTTTTTAACGGCGGGGAATGTTCATTTTAGACGAATTCTACGTAAGAGAGGTCGAAGGTCGACGGCGGCTTCTGTACAAATTGAGTTTCGTGTACGTTCTGTAAAGGTGTAAATATTCTGTAATTTATTTCTCTGGAATAAAGACGAGCAAAATTTGGCGAGAGGAGAATTCGATCGACACTTAATTTATATATATATAGAACGCGCGGTGCGCGCGTACCTCTTCCGAACGCCAGTCTTCGATTTTGTGTAGCGTATCTCGAGAAATCCTGCAAGAAGGCCGAATCTTTAGTTTCTCCGCGTCGACGCACGTTGGATGTAGACGGAAATTTTCTAATGTTAAAACGACTAACGAAGAATTTTGAAATAAACCAGGATTAATATTTTTATCCAATCTCAGCCTTTGAATCTTTTCTTGGTCTCGCGCCTTTCTTCCCCTCGCGCCCATTCCCTCCGGCGGCAGCGGGCCAAACGAGGAAATCTCCCGGCAGACGGTAACGAAGAAAGAAGAAAAAATCGGGTCGTTAAGCCCCGGAAAATGTCAAATAATTCGACGACGGAGTGCCTCGCGTTGATGCTCGGCGTCCTCTATTGTAGATGGTTTGTGTACGCCGCAAATAAAAAATTTCGAGTGAACGTCCTACACTACTAAATAATTGCCAGCGTGCGGCGTGTAAATCTGGCCATCTAGGGGCAAAAATTCTAAATGCAACGAGCAATTATTTCTTGTGACGTGGTCACGATGCCGGGCTACAATTTTTATTCATATTTTTTCTTTTTTAATTTAAAATATACGTTCTCCACCACAAATCAGTAGCGGCTTGCCCTCGTACAGTACATCATAATTTGAGGTGGAGAAACTATATTTTAAATTAAAAAAAAAAAAAATAGAATTAAAAATTGCAGTCCGTCATCGTGACCACGTCACAAGAAATAATTGCTCGTTCTAAATTAAAATGTAACTGCAGATGTGTCACTACGTGGTCGACACGAATTTCTTACATTAAATAGCGGAAATCTCGTTCGGGTATTTTAACTAGCGCGGTCGCCATCCATAAAACTCATTTTCCATAACTCGTCACCTCGGACTTTACCGTACGGCGAAACGTGGATTTAGCGCGCACGAAATCGGGCATAGAGAAGAACATAAACAAGAATTATATGTATTAATCTTGTCTGTTAATTAAAAATTCCCTTTTTAACGTTTAAAAACTTTTGTTTATTTACTAATTTTTCTCCAGCTGTTATTTTGGCGGTCGCGGAAAGACGTTAGACTCGAAAAGGGGCAAAGATCAAAAAAGATGGAGAAACGTCACCGGCTAGGCATTACGCTCCGATCTTAAATTTAACACCGGCAAAATGTTGGTTGCATTAAAAATAATCGTGCCAGGTGGCCAGATTTTTATTTAGTTATACTCGATTGCGATGTTTATTTTACCTTTCCAGTTGCTTTGTTTCGGGGGTTATATTAGACCTCGACCGGTACTTCGTTTGCATAATTTCGTACTGTCACTCCGATACCCCGCGTTTCTTTATGCAGCTTCGAGAAGCGCTTTACAGCAAACAGACTGAAACTGGTTTCTAATTGGCCAACACTGCTCGCGACGTCATTTCGCTACACTCTCGCTGCATAAAGAAACGCGGGGATAACGAATGGAATTGCATTCCGAACCGACGGCAGAAGCGGTATACGGGCGTCTGGAAAATACGCGGCATAACCCGGGGAAACGAGTTCCTGGCGCATACGCGGTAAAAGTCATTTGTGCCAATTTTAAAACTCGCCAATTGCTTTTATATGGATGCATAAAGTACGTAGCGAGTATAAATTAAGGGCGGGCTACTCCACGTCGTATGGCAGGTGGGGCTCGGCTACGGGAGCCGAGATCCGACCTAAATCTTGCATAAAAGCTTTAATACATTTGTCTCGTATTTAGTGAAGTTAACCGAAGTTCCGTCCAAGCTAATTTCACGTTTGACCTTATGTATTTTATAGTCGAATCGCGCCGTGCGTAAACAAAATCGTTCCTCATCCTTTCGCCCTCTTAAGTCTGGTGCCCACGTGCGGAAACGCCAAAGGATACAGGACTTAACAAAAAATCTTTACCTACGGCTAAGATACGGGAAGCCGTGGAACTCCGTCCGATAGGCTCTCGTTTGCCATTTCCTATCGCCGGCTTCTAGATGGAGTTCGCGCGTATCCACACATACGGATGGCCGTACGAAATCCCATGGTCGCGGGTCAGTAAATTTAGACGGAACACTCCTACATATTTCGGTATCTTTAGCGTTACCAAGTTTTCCGAATTGGGTGTCGGTCGGGTTCCAATTTGAACAAATTGTAAACCTTTTAAATTCCCACTGTCTGCCCGTCTTTCCTTAATCTCGAGAACGGAGTTAGATAGACGAGACCAGACCAGACCAAATACGGAAACCTTGGGGACGGAAGACCCCGATTAACTATATCTAAACATCCGGTTTAGACCGGAAGCCACGTTATCTCCGTTCAAAAATATTCCCCGGAAAGGATCGACACCACACTACTGCTAACTCGTCTAACGGGAAAAGTACGATGTACGGGGGGAAAACACACTACTAATCTGCGGCGAAGAGCATACATTTCAAATGAAATAAACTAAAATTATGATTAAAACTTGCAATGCCCTACCAAGTAAAAATGCCACAGACTTTACATATACGGGAATCAACGCTACCGATTTTCTGAGTCGATTCTCCGCCCTCCGAGAAACTATGGTAATTCCGAATATCTCGTTCGAAAGATAATTGTTTTCTTAGGTAGTGTGCAAAATTTCAAGATCTTCTATATAAGAAAAGGTGCAAAAATCGGCAAAAACGCAGTATTTTCTTTATCAGACGTAGCTGACGCTCGTATAGAAAGAACTACCGGGTCTAGAAATCTCAAATTTTAAAGTTAAGCCTTTCTGGTTATCGGTGAGGTGCCGGCCAAACTTCCGAGTCGTTGGGTCAAAGTTCCCATTGAGTTACTTTAGTTTTACGGCTTAATTTTATGCTTAACAGGATAAAATTCCTTGGAAATTAATGATTTTCATTCAGAGTGTTACCCAGAATAACAAAGGCTGAAATTTATACCAATTAAAACATTTTATAACGATTTTTCTAAAGGCGTATCGAGAACATCGGTCCCAGAATAAAACCTATCCTTATACCAGTGTTTTTCAACCTTTTTGAATACGCGACCCCTTTACAAGTTAAAAAGTTCTGGCGACCCCCCTAGGGCGATATTAAAACTATATCAGTGATTTTAAAATTTATGTATTTAATTTTCTTTTTGTTGAGAGAAATTATTGTTGACTAAAATGAGAATTTAAGAAGGATCGACAATAACTTATGACACGTATGGTATGATACTTCCCTCTCATAGGAACATTGGGTTCAGAGTGCTGTTGACCTTTTTTTTTTAGGACGACAGTATTTAATTTCCACTTTTCTACTTATTACTTTTTTTTACAGGTCAGCTCAGCACTTTTTCGGCTATCATTTTCAGGCCCCTCCCTGGCGAAACCCATCATTCACACCTAAATGTCAATCAAAAAACCAACTGTACTGTATAATAAACAGATACAGCTTTCTCGCCGAAATTCTAGTTTTTTAATATAGTGTAGGACCTACAAACACTTGTCTTTTTCTTTTACCCGCGACCCCCCGGGTAAGGCTTCGCGACCCCCCTGAGGGTCGCGACCCACAGGTTGAAAAAAACTGCCTTATACCAGACGTCATCGTCATATGTCTTGACGTAATAATATAATTATTAAAAACATGTGACACGGTAACAATGCTAGGCTGCAATTTTTAATATATTTAGCTAAAAATAAATGCTCTCCGCCTCGAATTACTAGTGGTTCGCCCCTGCACATCATACTTTGATAATACTGTTGCTAGATGTGCGACGACACGAATCTTGCTAACTCCTTTCGGGGGAAATTTACGAATTGAAATAACGTGACTTCCGGTTTGTATCGAAATTTAGTATAAAGTGGGGTTTCTCATTTCCCGGCATTTCGAGAAAATTGATCTGTTTCCCAGGATATAATAATTTTTCATTTTTTATGTTAAAAATAATTAATTATAAAATGAATCTTGAAATCGAATGATATAGGGCCTAAGCAATTTAATACGTTCTGCAACCTCCAAAATAATAATAATGCTGTATAAAATATATAATAAAAATTACCTTTGAATTACGTAGAAATCTTTTGTATCCTTGTCCAATTTGCACAATCGAAGCTACTGGGCATGGTTAAAAATGAAGACAGCATAAACACAATTCCAGATTCTGACAAAGAATTTTCAGAGTCCTGTCACGAATAGGCTACGTATTGATTACTGAAGACCCGTGATATGCCATAACAAGCAAAAATTTAAAAAACTAAGCAGACATTTGTATTTATTGCTTAGGATTCAAATTATAGCCATTATGACCATCATTGTGGGTCCCTAACCACGAGAGAGAGTTTACATTTGATCGCGTGCTGATAAATACCTTGAGTTGTTGTTCCATGAGCAGAAATTTGACCCAAAGGGGTGGGATGTTGGCTAGTTCAATGAAAAAGTTATTGAAAAATGTTAATATTATGAGTTAATTATACTTTCTATTTGCAAAATTTCCTCAACCTTACCACAAAATAAGAAAAAATTGAACATTTAAGAAATTTGCGGGATTTCCTGGGTTAAAAAACAGCTGTGATCCCGTTAGAGAAACCCTAGTATATAGTTAATCGGGGCCTCCCACCCCTAAGGTTTCCATATCTGATCTCGTCTTCTAACTCCGTTCGAGATTATGGACAGACAGACAGACGGAATTTATAGGTTACATTTTTTTTTCAAATTGCAGCCCAATAAGTAGCCTACGTCGTACGCCCGGACGGGCCACCGTACGAAACGTCGGCGAAAAATCGAAATATATTTGGAGATTAATTTTTGCACTCGGTGGCCTAAAATGACGGTAAAAATTATTTTTCGTTAAATATTTCGCTCGTTCTTGGCAAAATTAACGCGGCCGCCGTCGCAGTGTGCACCCGAATCCGTTCGGGTTAGTTCACGCTGAGCGAATAGCGAAAGCGAATGACAAAAGCAATTGCGAATTTTAAGCAGCCAATCATTGCAAGCAGTAGAAAACGTCATCTCGAAAAACAAAATGGCCGCTCCCGATATTCTGTCTTTAACCATGTTTGTTTATTTATTGAGAAAAAAAAGAGATACGTCAAAAAGAAAACGATGCTGGATGAAAGAAATATTTAAAAACCGTGAATTACAAACATCTACTTTATTCGTGAGAAAGTTCGTAGCCATCTCGAAAACAACGAGATCCACGTGACAACTAGCGGAAATAAGATTGGTGGCGAAGTTTTTTCGCTAGCGAAAAAGCGCGGTTCCGAACTTCGAACCGATTGGCCGGAAACCACGTCGTGACTGACGCGTTATTCGTTCTGATTTTCGCTTTCGCTTTCGCTTTGGCCAGCGAATATCGCTCGGTGTGAACTAAGCTTTAGGGTAATGCGCGATTTACACTGGACGCGAAGGGCGCAAAAGCTAGGCGAATATCGTTCGCACTGCTAGCGGTGATAAGCGTGGTGGCCAGTTGCAATTTCGCACTTTTGCCAATAGATGGCGTTTTAAAACATTCGATATATAAAAGGTCGGGGCACCATTGTTCCTTCTGGAGCCGCCATATTGGTTCCGTGGTCACGGTATAATTTCGTTCTCATACGTGCAGTAAACTTCGTTTCTTGGAGTTGGAGCCACGGAATTCTTTTAATAATCTCAAATAGAATATATGTCAGAGTAACCACTAGATGGTAAGATAATTACATATTTTAAATAGCTTAATTTTTTTTATTTTGAAACCTATTATGTTAATTGTTCATGATACAGTCCAAGGATAAATTTATTTAGTCTCGAAATGCAAAATTAGAGAAGAAATTTGGAGATACAGTAGAACATCGATTATCCGGACTAATTGGGGATGAAGGTCGTCCGGATAATCGAAACAAATACTTTGTCTTTTAATGATAGTACAGCACGTTTTCTTTTCGATGACATATCGGTAATATTAAAAGTAAATACTGTATTTAAATCGTGTTCAAATTTTCAAGAAACAAACGTTCGTATACGAGAATTTGTACTACTACTGACCAACGCTAACACTCTACCTATTGTTTAAAAGGCCCTCTGGTGGCGCAAGAAGACAGATTTTATAAAATAAAAAGCAGTCGAAACTGCATTTTTATGAATAAAAATTTGACAAACTATTTATCGTTTTATGACGAGTAAAATTTTTTCGTCGCGTTCGCGGCTTTTAAGTAATGCATAAACCTTCTAAACGCGAGGCTCTTCGGACCGCGAGGCATAGACGGTGGCCCACGTCACCCATGCCTTACGCCTCCCTTGGTCATAGAAATGATGTAATTTGAAAATAAATTATTTATAAATACGTATGTCAAGTTATATTTTTATCACAACGCAAAATATATTTAAGAGTTTACGGCCACTGTGCCGGGTGAGACGTTGTTGAAACAAAAAAAGTTATGCATTTCATCACGTATATAAACAGTGTCGTAATTCGCCAAGTGCAAATCAGCAAATTCGTAAAATTTTTGTTTATTTTGAACAATCCGGATAATCGAGGTTCTACTGTACTTGTTAAAATAAGAATATATTTAATTTTCTATATTCACACGCATTACACAAACTGCAAACAGCAGCATCAAAGTTAACATTTTTATAAATTAAAATTAGATGAGGATAAAAGAAAGTATATAAAGTTTGAGAAAGTTTAAAGCTCGAGCTATGTAAAGTAGATCTTCAAGTGTCGATAAGTAATGATAAGAAAGTTATGCATCTAAACTAAATTTAATTAATTTTATAGAGAATTAAATTTAATTAATTTTATAGAGAATTAAATTAAATTAAAATTTTATACAGAAATAAGTTATTTATAATAAAATGATTATTAACCTTCTCCCTCTCCTCGCAGGAGGAATTTCCAAAAATTTCTTTAGTGTGCATTTGCATGCCATACCCCGTGTACCAAATTTCAACTCCTAACCGTTTGGGTTCTGCGCTTAATTAATAATAATAATAATATACTAGCAGACCCCGCCACGCGTTGTTGTGGCTCAAAATGTTATCTATTATAAATTTATAACACTTTCCCCTTAGGGGGGAATTTTTCGAAAAATTTCTTGTTAGTGTACATTCTGTTGACGTACCCTATTAAAACGCAATCAAAAACCCGCATCTAAAACAGTATAAATAGAAGCAGAGTTCTTTACCGTAAGCCTTAATCCTAACCATCTCCCTTCAGTGGGGGGAATTTCGACACGTATATTATATAAAAACACGTGCGTATTCGAATGCAGCGTTGTGTTAAAATTTCAAAGGAATCGGTAGGAACAAACGAACATTACATTTTTATTTATATAGATAGATAGATGATGATCCGCTTTAGTTCATTTTCACAGAAAAGCAAACTTAGGGCGTCGTACTCGTAGCGCAATCTGTTGGACATAAAAGCCTTAACCTCGATTATATATTTTAATTTATATGAATGTTTAACGGAATAATATACAGCCTATGTCCACCCTAAAGTTCCATTTTAAATATTGGTGAAAGAATTTTTGAAATCGGATGAGTAGTTTCGGAGATTACCTGCTGCATACAAACTTACATACTTACAAACATTACCTCTTTATAATATTAGTATAGATTAGGATGGGTTGATAAGATTATTTTTAAATTTTAGTCATTTAAATTAATAACTAATTGAAATGAAAACTTTCAAAGTATGTTTTCAGTCCACAAACTACGTTTTAGAGGTTAAACGTTTTAGAGGCAAGGGGTTCCTTTCCCGCCTCTAAAACTTCAGTTTCGGAGGAGGGAGGAGAGACAGACGCGTCGGTACGGCGTATTTACGCGCGCACCGTACCGACGCGTACCACCGCAGGGACGCGTTTATTTTTCGAGGGGCGGCTCCATCCTTGAGCCGCCCCTCGAAAAATAAAGCAAAAGTATATTTTTGAAAACTGTAAAAATGCTTAAATCGTGTATTACTTGATTTTTAATGTGCGCAGTTATAAGATTTTCCATTGTATTAAAAACTATTTGGTATGGCGATTTGATGTGTTTTAGTCTATTGAGAACGCTGTGACAGTATTTTTTGAACCTTTTCTACGGCCCGAACTGCCGCGGCGGGCCGAAACGAATTTAAGAACCAAATGGTGTTTTGAAATTATCTACTTTATTTGAAAACGACAATTTTTCAGTCACGGACTCGAAGCAACGATTATTATTACACAAGGGTACAATTTAAAATTTTTATTGAACAATCGACACGGCGACCGGAGCCGGGTGGACTCCGGCCTATTTGTACAGTGCTATTTACACACGGAAGTACATAATGTATATAACTTCTGTTCGATGAAAACTTCCAATTTACAGTTTTTCTTACGAATAATTCTATTTTCGGGCCGTCGACACAAATACATTTAATCGAATCCTACACAATACGATTAATCGACCGGAAGGTGGCGGGCCCGGGCGGGGAGAAGGCTAGACTCGGAGGCCGGTAAAAATAATTAAAAAACCTGCTAATTTAGTGTTAACACGAAGTGGGCGAGAGTAAATTCCAAGCTATTTCTTAATGCGAATTTCAAAAGTACGGGAAACTCTATCCGTCCGCCGCTCCCCTCCGCCCCGGATCCCGGGCGGTAGGAAGATGCGACGCCTAACGGCTAAACTGGCTATTCCGCGCGGCGATTACCTAGGCCGATGTTCTCCGCCCGCGCGTGGAGGGATGCGGGACCGGCCGGGCCCCGGGCCCGCGACGACGGAGGAACTTTTGCCCGGAGATTCTATGCCGCATTCTTTCGTTTCCGGCGCCCGCGCGCCGCCGCGCCGGCGGGAGGGGACGGCCGGCGCCGGGCGCGCGCCGCGGGCGGAAACGTCGTCGGGCGGGGCCCGAGAAGCCGGAGGCCGAGAACGCAGGGGCCCGGGTCCTCTATAGCGCGGTGTGGGTGAAAGAGCTGGCGCTGTTGCTGTGGGCCAGGCTGAGCGAACTTCCCGAGATGCTGATGTCGTCTTCGCTCAGGGGCTCCTGGGAGGCTTCGGCGATGGCCGCCGCGTTGAAACCCAGTCGGGCGCTCTCCTCGTCGAAGGCCTCGATCTCCCGGGCCTGGCGGTCGATCAGAAGTCTCTGGCGCTCGGCTCGCTCCTCCTGGAACTGCTGCTTCTCCAGTTCCATCTGCGACAAAGCCTCGGTTAGTCATTTCTTCGGGCCCGACAAAATCAATTCCGCTTTCTTACATTTACCGACCGGGACGCCTTTGGCCTTTTCTTTTTCGCCGGGGCCAAGAAAACAAAACATTCTTTGTTTCGGACTGTCGATTATTTTACTTTTAGTCGTTAAATGTATCGGGTCCGAGCTCCCCATCTTTCCGTTAAAATTTATGTACGTATTTAAAAGAGAGCGTCGTAATTGCTAAGTTGGCCCCGTACCCACGGCGCGAGTGGAACGTCCGGACGGCAAACGCTCAGCGAAACGGCTCCCTCGGTTATCGTAAACAGAAAAAATCTGCCAACTTTTCTGGCTGTTGATTTTTAAGCAAAAACTAAAATTGCGTGTGGCGCCATCTGTTATCGGATTTTGTTATAATTTTTTTAATTACTATAAAACGGCAAAAGACTCGCTTTTGAGGATAGGGACGAGTATTACGAAAAAGTGTAAATGTTAATAACGAATAAAATCTTCGTTAAGACCTACCCCTCGCGATCTTTCACTACCAAACTTTAATAGTACCCGTGCCTCTCGTATGCGGAGCCACCGTGTCAAATTTCGTTTCTTAACATTTACCTCGTCACGAAATATTAAGCGATACAGAGGCCAACACACACGCATATATTCGAGGATTTCTTTTCCATTTTTGTGGATTGGGACGTCTCAAAATATGGAGTTTTATAAAAATGTCAGATGGTCGAAGTTGGCATGATTTTGGAATCGTGTCAATTTCGCCCTCTGACATTTTCCCTTCTTTTGTATTCGAAACAGTCGAAAAAGTAAAAAGGAGAATCGTTTGCATTGCCTCCGAATATTCTGGTAGCCGCACGGTGTGTAAATCTGGCAATCGGGTGAAAAAATTCAATTTTTCAACCCAACTCGAGTGTTAATTTATATCATATCTCGATAGTAGAATGCCCGTAGCCTCCGGGAACGGAGTTAACTTTCCTCGAAAAGCTAAGAGTGGCGGAGGTGCGCCTCTAAATTTAACCCGACTGGCAGTAGGCACGCGTAGCTCTGCACGTGACACTTTACTACGCCCGGCCGGTTCGACGGGTGTGCACCCCTAGCCACATTCAGAGTTTATCGCATGTTCGAATCGTAATTTACACACGTTTTCCTTATTACCGGTGGTGATATTTCTTCTAAATTAGGTTTCGTCCAATCGAAAAGATCTTGTGAGTAATTTTCGTTCGAACTGAAAGTTCTTTTTCAAGCTTACCTAAGATTTTAGTTTAGTATTTCGTTTAACTCGGCTTTGTGACTACAATATATGATTATTAAAATTATAAAAGAATTATATTGAACCTTCCTTTTTGCAGAATGTCTCGATTTTCCGTAAGGCCCTTTTCGACATACTGGATAGAAATCCAAAGAATTCTAAGCTCGAGCCAGGATTATGTACTGTACTGTACGTCCCTCGAGAAAGGGGGAGAGCAAATTTCGAAATTTCTTTAAGCTGCACAAAATAGATACTATAATTAGGAACGTTTGCCAAAAAATTAAATGCAAACGAGAAAAGTCGCCGGGCATCGATAACGCTTCTTCCATACTTATCCGTTTTGGCTGGTCAAAAGTGTTACATTTCCTCACGATATATTTAAAGCCGTCCCACCGTTGGACCGGACCGACCAACGAAGCATTTCGACGCTCGGTCTTAAGTCCAAAAAACAAAAACGCCTCCCGCCAAGAACCGAATACAGCCACAGAACTTAAATCAAGGAATATGAAACTACGATCACTAAGTTTTGGCTCTACGGAGGACTTATCCCACATTATTGACGTTGCCAGAGTAATCATACGGATACGGTTTTATTTGACCACGGTATGCATTTAATCCAACACCCAAATGTTTAACGAAAAACCGCTTGTATTTTTGTAGACGCCCATATATCCATCAACAAATAGGACTGAAGAGAGAACATACAACCTATACGAAATGCATACCGTTGTCATAAATTAACCCGTGTTTACCGATTTCCGTGTGATTACTCCGGCAGCGTCAATAGTGTGTGATAAGTTCTCCATAGTAGAGCCAAAACTTAGTGATCGTAGTTTCGTATTGTAACACAAGAACAAAAAACAATTCATCAGTCTAAATTAAGGAAGCCAACGCCTCCGACACTACGCAAGGTATGCCATGCCCGCCGGCCTAGGTACAAATTTATTTGACGGAAAGGATGTTACTGAAGCCGGCATTCTCTCAATTGGGCAACGCTCGGAAGAAGCCCGTCAGGCGAGAAACCAACGTAATAGACAATTTAGAAACTATTTACCTAGAAAACATCGAGAAGATATGGAAATTTGGACCGGTCGGCCGGACTTCTCGTCACCTCGAATCCATTTACGGCCAGTTGGGCAGCATCTCGTATAAACAAACGTTAAAAACGAATCCCCCCCCTATTGCTAAATTTATTAGAGAACGAGAAAATTCTGTTGACTAATAAGAGGAATGCAGTGTAGGTTAGTGATTACGACTAAATGTTTTCGTATTCTACTTTACACTTACGATCCTTCTTTTTTGCTCGCATGCTAATGTCTTTTCTTACTTATTACTTTTCAGGATGGAGATTTTATTAGGATTAAACGCAATATTAAATAGCGGTGTGTTACTTATCTGTTACTTATTTTTAGTCATATAAAGATTGCAAGTTTAGCAGATTCATACTGTATTTGTGTGTGTAATATATTTAAAGAAAATTAAAATTATTTAAATAACTTATACAATTAATCATATTAGTATTTTATTAGCAAAACTTATGCAAAAAACGAACAATAATGCTTTATATTTGCCGCAAAAAATTTTCCCCTAGATAGCCAGATTTACACACTGTGCTCTGTAGATAGTTTTTTAAATGCCGCGTTAGTACTCAACACGGTATAGAAATGATATTTCTAACTGCGTACGTAGTTGTATTTGTTCGGGAAGAAAATGGCCTGGAAGTGACGGCCCCGCGCCCCTTTTTATTAACCGGGAGAACTTTTACCATAATGGAGAGAGCCAGTAGAGGCCCCTGCCGTCCTTAACTCCCCAACTTCCAGGAATGTCGTTTGCCGTTCGTACAACTCCGGAGAGGAAAAATCCCCAAATGCGTCCAGTTGTGCTTTAGCGGCGCGGATATCGCACGTCCGATATATGCAAAAATTTAAATAACGGACGGCCTCGTACTTTTAAAAGACGGAAGAAAAACTGTGGTACTTACTTTTTGTTCCAGCAGAGCCCGGCGCATGGAAACTCTGTCTTCTAATTCGCGACGTTCGCGATTTCGTTGAGCTTCGGCCTGCATTTTAATTTTACTCTGGAAGGCGGTCAGGAGTTCCAGCTCCTGCTGCAACTGGTCTTTAAGCTGGCGATATTCTAATTCTTGAGACTCATCTAATCTTATCTGAGAAGGAAAAAAATTCAACCGGGAATTAGTTATAGAAAAATTGCGACAAAGTCCTATTCCAAAGACGCGTGACTATCCGTTTTTAGGCGGACGGGACGTTTAAACCTTCGTTAATCTAGAAACGAAGTATTCCGAAATCCGACGTTCAATTATTGGTTAAAAGTTCCGTAGGAAAACACGCAAACGGTTACGAGTTTGTTCGCTATCCAAGTTAAAAATTGTGAGAGAGGGAAATGCCTATACTTACGGATTGTTTTTGTAGCATTTCTGCGATGCTCTGTTCGTACTGTTCTCCTAGAATAGCGAGCTTACGCATCTGTTCTTCTTTCAACTTCTTGATGACGTTTTTCTGATCTTCTTTGGGAGTGGAGGCTAAAATTTGATTTTTCCACGCTTTATACTGCCTTGTCTGAATCTTACAGGTTTCTCGGAACTGTTTACGTATTTGCAATTCTTTTTGCTGCAAGAAGAATTTTTAAATTATTACGTAAGGGCTTCGTCGTACTAGAGTTTCGATCGATTTATTAATTACAGATCTTTACCGTTCTTTTTAAAATAACAGACGTAACTTACTTTCAAACTTTTTGGTTGTTGTTTGACTTCCAGTGCGTGTTTCTTACGTAATTCTCTTTCTCTACGGGAATTATATTCCTGCTGGTTTGCCAGTTCCGTTTGATGTTGTTTTCGCACTTGTTCTTCCTTTAACTGATGCACCGCTCGTTGCTGGCGATATTCTAATTCTTGAGTCATTTCGTGATGGTGAAGCAGCATGTTGTGAGCTTGATCTAGTTGAGCCTGTCGTTTGTTTAATTCCTGAAATAATTCACGCCTTTAATTTCGTATAGTTATAATAAAAATAATTAACATGTATTTTCTATCCTATCCAAAAACAAATTTCTTTAGCAGTCGATGACGAAATGGATTTTTTTATGTTTAAAATAGACCCTTTCTCCTTGCTAAAAAGAATTCAAAAACATATAGACCATTAAATGTGAACATTAATAAAAAAAATACGACCGTACAATACAAACTGATTATATTTCATGAACAAATTTCCGTACGAATTAACCTTTGAGTTTGGAGTTACGAGGGAAATAACACTACTTTTATTCGCACGGTTTTTGTTATTTGCAGTCGGTAAACGGGCCAGCGCCAATATAGTACAAAAACTTTTTCAAATTAAATGCGACGATTTAAAATTGCGTAAAACTCAGATCGAGATATTTGTATTATTTATTGGCTTGTTAACGTGCTTGATGGTAGACTATATTGCTGTCTGCCGTGAAACATTAAAATTCTTATAACCATTGTCAAACTAAGGAATCTTCAAACTGACCTTAAGTATTGCACTGTCTTAGGTAAGTAACACTTTCTATCTATCCTCCTTAAAACTTAGGAATAGTAAGATCTTAATTTCTACCAATGTAATAAAAACTTATATTGGTCTTTTGACACTTACTTAGAGAATAGAAAGAGTGAAACTAGTTGTGACCAAGTCAAGTAGTGACGAGGCTCATAACTTTTTCTTGAGGCTGATAATACTGAATGCCTCCATTGCAACATTCTATGTATCTGTCTTAATATTGCATGTGAAGTTAGAAAAAGAATATTGCATAGCATTGAAGTTATACTAAGTAATATGTTATTAGGGTCAAAAATTAAAATTTGGTTGATAGTTTTAAGTAGGTTTTGTTCAATCATACGATGAGATAAGTTTAAATTGATTTATATCTGTGGACAACAGTTCTTCGGGCGTTGTTTTACAGAATGCTATGGTAGCAATATGATGATGGAGTTACAAAGACAGAAAAAAGCAGAGGTTGGAACTAGTTGTGACATGCAATGAGGGACACATTCAAAACTGCCACAACATACCTATTTAAAACATGATTAAAGGTTTTATGCTTATATAATGAGGGACACAATAAGGTACACAATGCATATAATTTTGTTTTAAAAGTGCAGCTAGTATATGTGACAGTTTTTAATATAATGTATATACATTATATAGAAAATAGTAAAAACTGTCACAACTATCCCCACTCTCCCTAATCAAAATTAGAAGAAAAAGTGTAATGAATTTTGGAGTTTTCAAATTTAATGATAAAATAGTGTTTTTTTGCACTGTGTATTCATGAAACATGTTTACATGGCTTATTTTTCTTGACAGATTGTTTCCAAAACAAAGTTTTACCTAAACTCAATGTCTTGTTACATTGATGATATACAAAAAATTGCAACACACAGTAGTAGTTGTTATTATCAATCATAAGTTTTTAAATAAAGAAGTTCTTAAACATTTAAGATAATAAAATTAGCTTCAAAACTTACTATAATAGCAATAATATATTAATACGGTAAACTCTTGTTAATTCAAACTCTTATAATTCGAATTTCCTTTTAGTTCGAACTGGACACTAGTCCCTGTCCAATTCCTATTTAAATCAATGTAAAATTTTTGATAATTAGAACTCTATTGTTGCCTCCTGTTTATTCAAATTGAGTGCACATGTTAGCATATTAACATTGTCTTCCCATTTTTGAAATGGAAAAACTGAATTTAAAATTAATAAATTAATTTTAAAACATTTCAAATGATTTAGCATATGATTAGAATAGTTTATGGTCACTCTGTGGTGCTTTCTCACCTGGCTTCTCATGGGCAATACAGAGCTTTAGACTTGATAACCAAAGTGGCCATTATCAACAAGGTTGAGTCCAGTGGAATAAAATCCAACAGCACTAACAAGTATAGAATTAAATGAACCACGCTGTTGATGTACTGTACTTGAAGATAAAGGATTTGGTTTTTCTTTTTCATTCCAGTGAATGCTCTACTGTATCTTTAGTTTTGTATTTCTCATTTATTAAACATTATTCTGTTTTCTATAAAGTGTTAATGTGTTGTTAAAATCATATTTTCTTTCTTTTTTCTTTTTTGTGTAGCATCTAGAAATGGTCTCCTTTTAATTTGAACTGTTTAAGATCATCCCTCTGAATAAGAATTAATGAGTCTACTATCTAATTTGCCAAAAAAATATTACTTTTGGTTATTACAACTTTCACATGTATTATACCATTATTAGACAATTTTTATTCATTTAATGCTTTTTTTAAAAGACAAAATTACCTCATTATATCACTCTTTTGGATATATCATGCTTTTATTTCAAAACATAAAATTGTTTCAGCCAATAATTTTTAAAATAATTGGTTAATTAAATAGATTCTAGTGGAAAAGAAATATTATCTTATTCTAATCATTGACCTCAAACTATCACAATATATAAATAGAATACAACTACAAATAAAGCAAGTCAACGCAGAGAGCGAAAATAGACAAAACAAGTAAATAGCTAATTGGTTATGTCATGTCATGTCATCTGGTGCCTTACTTATCTGGTTCATCTCGATATGTGCAATATAACAAGGAAATGTCATATAAAAAGATTCTCAAGACAAGGGTAAAAAGAAAAAATAAACAATTGTTTACTAGTATTTTATTTCAAATGAAGCACAGCGTAGAAATGACTGAATAATACTTGAATGATCATAAACAGTGAAATTATTATATATGCAAAAAAGTAAGTGATTTAAAAAATTCATGTTTCTTTATAAAGTCATCTTGAACTGGAAAAATAAAACAGTAATTATTTCAATCATTCTGTTAGGAATACTATTTACTATACAATATTGTCTTGAAATGTAGTTTAAATAATGCATTTGGCACTGTGAAAATAATACTGATAATGCTCCATTTGAAGATTAACAAATCTTCAGTATTAAATATTGTGTATGCAAGACCCTAACATACCTTGAATTCAAGGCCAATCATGATCCTGAAAGCTGTAATCCCAAAAGGTCCAAACCTCAAACCCCCCAAAAAATCCCAATACTAAAAATTAAAATCTTAATATTATGATTCTGGAAAAAAAAAATAAATCTTTAAAAGACATTTATTTACATATTTAAACGAAATTTATTTGAGAAACATGTGATAGAACACTTCGTAGCTTCTTTTACATAATAAAATATTTGATAACAGTAATAGTCAATATGTTTGTATTTTATATAACACATACATATTGACTATTATTACATTAATACATATTACCTAAAATCAAATATATAGAATTATAAATAATAAAAATCAATAATGAAAATTTTAAATAATAGGGAAGAAAATAAAAAAACCACACAAAAGCATATTACATTGGGAAGATTACGGGCAATTTCATGAAGGTAGTCCACAAAAGTTGCCCAAGTTTCACGATCATTAAGTACATTTTGAAGTCTTGTTTTGTGATAAATATCTGCTTTTTTTCCCATTTAGGGCATGCATATTCATTTTCTACAAGACATTCCTCTTTTTAAAATTCTTCAATGATTCAATATATAACAATGTGAGCATTCCCCATTAAATTTTTTTCCATCTTCTGGACCTTGCATCTACATTGTTTTGCATATGCGGAAATCCATTCCACATGCACTCATATATGGACAACAAATTTCTCATCGAAAACTGATGTTTTAGGTGTTTTGGGATTTTCAACATTCAGGATTATGACCCAGACCCCTTTGAATTGTGTTGTCTCACAGCCTCAATTTTAGTCATTACTTATAGGCCAAGAACCATAAAAGTATCATTGTAGTTCACATATGACAGTATGAATGAAGAATAGTAAATGACTAAAATCTGTATAATTCACAAAAAATCATGAACTCAGAATTTCAGCCATATCCCTCAGAGCAAAAGCTGGTATCTTACCATAATATCGTCTACAATGAACTAGGTCAATAAACTGGTATAAAGTAAATCAGGTTTACATAAAATTGTTTTTATAAAATGGTGATTGGACTTTATAACATTAAACAGAGAATTACTGTCTAAAGAACTGTTACATAGTAAATTATCATGGAATCATATTAATTGATATAAATGATGAAAATTCTATCTTTCATGCAAAATAATTTTTATAGAAATTTTGGAAGACCCAATTATAAATGTATTAATATGGAATCATACATTTAGCATATAAATATTCTGCAGAGTTTTCAATAAGCAATCATATTCTATCTTCATCTAATTCATATCTGGTCTTTCATACTTTAATATATGTGTCAAAATAAGATTAATAGTGAGAGATTGACTTGAAAAGAAAAATTAATTAAAACTTGCTATAATTTTTCCCATGATTGTTAAAAGTGTAAAGGATATGATTTTATCCCTCTGTGGAGTCACTTCCCTTTCAAGATGAGGCATCGAATGTGTCACCAAGAACTTGTTATTGGATATAAGCACTGCAACATTGACAAAAAAGGGCCAGGATGAAAAGAGGGAGGATCTCCAATAAAAGACAAGGACTGATGACAACAAGGGTTGGTTCATCCAGGAGAGTTCGTTTGCTCATCGTTTGCAAGAGAAATCCTTGCACCAGAAGTTCGTCCTCACAGAGTTGCCCCTCGCTCTGATACCTCCGAGATCCTCCTCCATCTAGAGCAGGGCTTCTTAAACTATGGGTCGCTTAGCGAAATCTTGGGGTCGTGAGATTTTAATGAAAAATATTGAAAATAATTTCTGAGAGTTTGAAAATGGCAAACTTTGTGTCATAGGTTTCGTGAGTTGCTCTTTGTGTCACTTCTGGTGCAGGGAGACAATGATTCGGCAACACTGATTGTAGTGTGAACTAGTGCAGTGTTGTCGCTTTTCAGTGTNGCTTTTTTATATTGTACTAGCAGACCCCGCCACGCGTTGTTGTGGCTCAAAATGTATCTATTATAAATTTATAACACTTCCCGTGGGGGGGAGGAAA